CTAAAGTATTATCAGCATCAACAGTACAGAAAAGTGAAGAAGAAAGCTAATAATCAGAAAAAGTAGAAAATGAAAAACGACAAAAGTCAACCCTGATACGTGTCCTAAGGAAAGACAAAAACGCAACATGATGTCAGTTCCGTTAAATTTTTTATGCACAAATTTATTCGAATTTCGAACAAGCCAAATGGAATATTTTGCCAAAGTCAAAAGATAAATACAGAGCGATTTCCGATGGGAATTTAGAAATATTCGGTATTAAAGTAAACCGAATTACCTCATTACTTAGTTTCAGAAGCCAAAAACGATAAATGATCTAACCACTTGAAAATGATATCCCACAACACATGAGCAATAGATAATAAGATACCCCAAGGGAAGAGCATCATATATAAGAAGATAATTAACCGATTTGGAAAGTGGATCCACAAAATGATTATGCGAATTAAGCCAAACGTGACGAAAAGGAATACGTGGACACAACTCAACTTTATTTTCCACGACTGTTTCCAATAAACCGTTTAATAGCCAAAAAACAATTCTTATAGAAAATAGGCATCGTCTCAGAATGAGGAAATAGTAAAGAAGCAAAAGCAGAGCAATAGTGACGTAAGGACATCCCTAGCCAATACTTAGCAAAAAACGTCCACTTAGCTGAAGAATGAGTTAACAGATGTTGAATGTGTCTTAAATAGAAAGAAAATAATTTTGATTGGATGTGAACAACACCCAAACCCCCATCTAAAACAGTTTTATGAGTGAGTGAGTATGGTTTTACGCCGCTTTTAGCAATATTCCAGCAATATCACGACGGGGGACACCAGAAATGGGCTTCACACATTGTACCCATGTCGGGAATCGAACCCGGGTCTTCGGCGTAACGAGCGAACGCTTTAACCACTAGGCTACCCGACCGCCCCAAAAACAGTTTTATGACACACAGACCTCCGAATGGGTTCAGCAGTGGAGCTCCAAATAAACCGAAAAGTCTCCCTGTGAAAGAGTTCGAAAACGGTGTTACCGCCCCACGGTACCACAACTTAGATAAGGCCATGACATTGCACACAACAGTTTTACCAAAAATAGAAATAGAGCGCCCCTTTGTAACATTTAAAACAGACCGAAATCTAGATAGTATAGGATAAAATTGATCGTCCGCACTGACATTCCTGCCTGTCATAATTCCAACAATTTTTGAATGCTCGATCCAAGAGATACCAAAAGGATGATCCGATCTACTACGCCACCTACCCACAAAAATGCCATGAGTTTTTGCAAGATTCAATTTGGAGCCTGACGCTTTACCATAAAAGGAATAAGCAGCCAAAAGATGACCAATAGAAGCGTCAGAAGTACAAAACCCCAGCCCATCATCAGCAAAAGCAGATATCTTTGCCGAATCATCAGTACCTGGTAATTTAATACCCACAATTTGCGACTTTTTTCGGATATAGCCTAAAAGAGGTTCTAGCGCTAATACATACAAGGACGGGGACAACCCACATCCTTGACGGACAGACCTCGTTACTGGAAATGGCTGTGAAATGTGCTTATTAATTATAACCGCACTAGAAATGTCCGTATAAAGAATTTTGACCCATTTTTTGAAATTAGGACCAAAGCAAAAAGCGTCCAATACAATAAACAGAAACTGATGAGAGACTCTATCAAAAGCCTTCTCCTGGTCTAAACTAATAAAAGCACAAGGCAGATCTTTCTGATCCACATAATCAAGCACATTACGAATGAGATGACAGTTATCATGAATAGATCGGCCAGGAACAGCACAAGTTTGATCCAAATGCACGATATTGCCTATAACCTTGCCTAAACGTGTGCATAACAATTTTGAGATTATTTTCACATCGACATTTAATAAAGAAATTGGACGCCAGTTACGAACATTGTCCGCATTATTAATATCTTTACACAGGAGACAAATATAAGAAGTTTTAGAAGAGGCAGGAAGAACATGCTCCTGAAAAGACAGCTGAAAAACACGTAGAAGAACATCACCAAGAACATCAAAAGTAGAGACATCCAATTCCTTAGTAAGCCCATCCGGACCTGGAGATTTATCATTCTCCATAGCCTTAAGGGTGTTTAGAATTTCATCACGAGATATATCTCCTTCCAGTGAGGCCGAATCAACCGATTCAAGTGTAGGTAAATCAGCAAGGAATTCGGTACAAATTTCATCATCAATGGGTTCATAACCAAACAGATCGCTATAAAAATCAACAAAAACACCCATGATCTCACGAGAGGTAGACAACTTATTCCCAAAAGGGTCTAAAATAGAAGAAATAGATTTTCGTTTTCCTCTCTGTGATTCCTTGCGTAAAAAATAACTGGAAGGTCGTTCACCAATTTCAAGGTCCTTAGCCTTAGATCAGACTAAATTACCTCTGAATTCCAAGATTTCCAAATCATGAATTTGGTTTTTGACAGCCGCAAGTTGGTCAGAATAGAGTCCAGGATGTAAAGATTCAGCTTGGCATAAAGAATTTTAATCGGAAACTAATTCCTTATGAAGGGATGCCTGTTGAGATTTATGAACACTCGCAAACAATTGAAGAAAGGCCTTAATTTCCAATTTAAAAGCATCCCACCAATCCAACGTAATAGAAGCCAAAGGGGAATATGATTTGAACAAAATCTGGCAAATAAGGCCAGAAACGAATCATTCATTAAAGAATTGTTACATTTAAAATAACCAGGACCAAAACTTATGCCAGCAAAATCCTTCAGCTTAAACGACACATAATCATGATCAGAAAAACTACATGGAGATATGTCCGCAGACACAAGAGAACAGCGAAGAGAAAAGGAGACATAAAAACGGTCCAGACGAGATCCGGCGCCGGCTGTATTGCGCCAAGAAACCGCCACAGAACCAGGAAATTTGGAGCGATAGACATCAAAGAGAGAAAAATCAGAGACCCATTGCTTAAGAAGATTAGCCCCGGCCTGAACAGAAGCCCTCCCACCTATTTTATCTAAAGATGCATTAAGAACGCAATTAAAATCCCCCCCTAAAATAACAAATTTGTTGGTCACCAAATATTTGGCAACACTACGGAAGAACACAACTCTATCAGCAGGGAGATTGGGAGCATAGAGATTTATAAAACGGAGACCATACCCATCGACAATTAAATCCACAACCAATAAACGCCCCTCGAAATCAAAATAGAAATAACCAACAATGAAATTAAGTTTGGAAGAAACAATAAACCCCACGCCCCGACTGAAATTGCTCCCAAAACTCCAAAAAGCCTTCCCATTAAATTTCGACTCAAAAGACTTAGCAATAGCCAAATTATACACATGGGTCTCCTGAAGAAACAAAAAATCGATGCCATCAGTAACAAAAGCATGTGACAAGAGATTTAATTTAGTAGGATCATCTAAAAGGCCATTACAATTAAGTGAAACGAAATTATACATAAGAATGGATGCTTGGAGAAGAGGCACAACACAGAAAAATACAATGCAAACAAACCCCATCAGAAAAAAGCAAAAACATCAAACAAATCCTAAAAACAGCAAAATTTGAAAAATAAAACTTACCACAAAGATGCTTAAACTGCAAAACAATTGTTAAATTAAAAGAGAAACCTAAACACCCCCAAAAAGCTGAAAAAAGAAAACCATAACAAATTATGCAAATAACACAGACCCAAATACAACAAAAACAATGTACCCATATAGTGAAAATTTTCCCAGAATGCAAGAGCCGCACCCCCCACAGGACTCCTGGCACCCCCCGGAAAACAAAACGTAAGTAACAATCAACACTCAGAACAGCCAGCGCGAAAACACATAAACATACACAAGAAAAAGGTACACTCCCTATGCAGGGAGAACCAGGCTGTCGAAAACAAAATCATGAGCCAGTCTCGTAAGTGATGGACATAGCATAGATCGGTATCAAAAGGGAAGGAAAACATGGCAGAGGAATTATGGGGGATCATCTACCTGAAGCCTAGAACCAGACCCGGACCGGCGAGACCCAGACGGGGAACGATGAAGAGTAGTAGCCGCAGCATCCGCCACCCCAGGAGGGATTGAAGACACCCGCTGCTTTTTCCCCGCTGAGCCACCCCGCGAAACAGACCGAGACCTGGACCTAGGCTTTACAAGGGTCCACGTTTGAGAATCAACATCGGCAATGATGGAATCGGCCCCATCCTGTGACCCCAAATCATCCTGGGAAATGTCAAAGGTCAGGGGTTCAAGAGTGGCAGCCTTCGCATAGGAGACGGGAGTGGCAACACCCCCACTCTTGCCAGCACCCTCACCCGCACCCACACCCTCATCTACACTCCCACCCTCAACGACACCCTCACCAACAGAGTCAATCACAGACACAGTGTCATCCGCAACATCCATTGAATCATCTGAATGCACAATAAAAGTCTCTGCCATGTCAACACGAGGTGTAGGGTTAGACGGGGCCACCGAGGAAGTCGGGGCAGCACTAGGACCCGGCCCTTCCAACTTTTGTCTATTCTGCCAACTTTAAGGGCAGTCAGGGCGCGTGTGACTGAGGTGATAACACCTCAGACATACAGGGAGACGAGCAGGGGCGGTAACCAGCATAGACATACGGTCACCGAGGCGGACGATGTATGGAACACTCTCACCTTTAGTACTGTCAATTTGGAGCTGCACGGTCCTCACACCAGTCTGAATGGGAGCTCCTCCAACCAGCATCGTCTCAGGCTTAATGGACAAGACGGTCCCATACCGGGAAAAATATGTATCCAAAAAACGATCAGATACCACACCATGAATCCAATGGATGCGAAGATCCACAATCTCCTTATCATAAGGGGAAAATTCAACTTTTACGCCCCTATACAGCACAGACCCAGCCAGAAGTAGCAGGCGGGCACGATTCTCAAGTTTTAAAGTAACAAACCACACCCCTGAAGTTTCCGTTTTCCATATGGAGAGTTCAGTCGCCTTAATTCCTTTGTAGGCCAATTGCACAAGTTCAAAAACATCCTCACGATGCAGTACCTGCAATACCGGGTCAACCCGTGATGAGGGCGGAGCAAGCCCCGTGGCACCTCATCCCATTCTAAAAATCAGTTTAATATCGATGTCTCCATTAGGAGACGTATCAGATATTAAGCTGATAAGAACAGATACTTTTTCTTTTTTATAAAATTTATTACCTAAAGGGAATTTAGTACAGGCGCATACAGCGCTGTCACTGCAGGGCCGCCTAAAATTATCACAGTTGTGAGCCCTGCAGTGCTAACAGAGATTCAAGTAAAGAGGAAAAATATATCAGAAGCAAGCAATGGACATGGCAGGAAACACTAAGCACAAACAATTAAGTCCACAGGCTCCTTCGGAAAACCAGAGCAAAATTCCTCCTCACACAAGGAAATCACAAAGCTACCATGAGACTGGTTGGGCTTGAAAGGAAAACGATGACGGAAAAAGTTCACTTTTTTCACAAGAACTTTCCCAACAGCTACCCTCAACTTCTCACGCCCTTCCTTAGGGAAATCAAGTACACATTCATTCCAATGGCCCTTGTCCACTTCCAGTTGAAGTCCAGCACCAGACGTGTTAGGAGACACTTGCAGTCTAAAGAACCAAAGACGCTCTTCACCGGAATCAGAGTCAGACGGGGAAACCTCCTTGACGACTTGAGGGGGAGCAACCTGACGGCCACGCGCACTAACAGTACCACGACGCAGAGGCGGAAATCCAGTACAATCACCTACTAGAGAGTCCAGAGGGATCTGAGCTAGCAGAACGTCAGACTGAGACTGCTGATCGGCCCACGAGCAACCTGCTTCCTCTTCTCAAACACTCCAGCACCTGGAAGAACACGTGTGCACTGCTTCTTGGTAGGAGGGACAACGGGTAGAGACTCCACGGCATCGTCATTCTCAACGTCAGAATCGGCAGACAAACTGTCCATGTCACTGTCATCCTTGGTCCCATCAACAACACTGTCCTCAGGCAGGGAAACCGCATCCCGGGGTCGGACATCCGACGAAACGGAAACTACACTAGCACAGCCAGCAACAACAGTATCAACAGGTTCCACGTCCATCACATCAGGGTCGACAACGTCAGGAACATCAGGAGCCACAGTAGATTTTCCGGTAGAAGGGGTAGGTACATCCGAACCAGGCCATCGGGCCCGCACATGACCAACCGAGTGACACTTGAGGCAGATAGGCAGTCGACCCGGTGCTGTAACAAGCATGGACTGCTTATCCCCAAACCGCACAATATGAGGGATACATGTACGCTCAGCATCCGTGAGCTCCATCCGTACAATACGGACACCAGTGAAAATGTTAACACCGTCCACATCAATAAATTCCCGGAAGGCGTCCAACACACGACCATAACGGCTGAAGAAATCCTTAAGAAAATCACTAGTAACGGTAGCATGCAGCCAATGGATCCGTAAGGGAACCATGAAGACACCATAAGCATAAAAGTACAACTTCTCAACACCAGTGGAGACACATTTCAAGTCCAGCAATCTTCGGGCCACAGAAACAGATTTCAAAGTCACATACACCTGGCCGGAGCGTTCCGTCCTCCATATCGCCTGGCAATCACTCAAAGAAAAGTCAGGCACAGCAGCAGTTAACAGGCGAGCAGTCTGGCACAGAGGTAAAACGAGTAGTCGAATACACCCTCACAGTCCGGGATTCGATCTCCTTATCCACGAACTGGTCCAGCATTCACGGCAGAGCTGTAAGCCATGGCAGGTGAGGAGAGGTGAGGGGTGACCACTGAAGATCACACAGCCAAAGCTGATACCCACTCGTAGACCTTGAAAAGAAGTTCAGATTAACACAATGCAAACAACATACAATACTCTGTAATCGCCACAGTGACAAACAATGACACTCAACCAGTGACTAAGCCATACTTTGAGCTTAGCCAAAAGGCCGAGAAGCGATGCCGGTTGCCGGCTTGCGCCGGCAACCTTCATCTACAAACACAACATACCATTAAGGTGATATTAATTTACATGAAGCGCTTATAATCCTTGACCCGCAATATTGTATGCTCAAATAGGGAAACATGTGGACACAACACGAGTGCGACAGGCAAATTGAAGACGTTTGTGAAGAAATTCAGCGACTTTGGTAAATGTAAAAATGGCGTAAATACAGCCATTTTCCTATGCATAAAGAGTGCGAAGATAAAACATTGCCAGGCGGGGGGAAAACGTCCTGCAGCGACCCAGTCCAACATGAATACCGGCCGCGACATTAGGGCTTAATGGGCGGAGTCGGGCAGGCATGGGGAGACAGGCCACTTTGAATAGCTAGCGCCCAACTTTGACAGAGTCGTGCGTAGGCAAGAGTGAAAATCCGATCCAAATTGCCCCAATGTATTGAATGAACTAAAGGTAAAGATACTTTAGGTGTCCGGCAAAGTGAAAACCGAAATAATTCCATCTAAAAATGGCATTTGAGACAAAAAAACGAATGAATTGTGGGGAAAAATGTGAAATGAACTTACTTGCACGAAGTGTAATGATGCATCCGGCGTGTGTTTGGTACTTGAAACATCTTTTTAGGGGGGATGCGACATTGATAACGTCTTGTAGTGACGAAGCAGACTGCTGTTGTGACAGAGTGATTGTCTAGACGTCATTTCCGGCGTGCGGCGTCATGGCCGACGGCCTTGGTTACGGGCGACTACACGTAGCTGAAAGTTGAAAAATGCTATTTTAACAAACTCGTACGGGTTGATGTGGTAAGAGGACGGGTTGCATGTGTGTATAGGTATATTTCTAAGGTTAAGAAGTAATAAAATGGAGTATCTATTGAGAAGTGCGGGCGAAAAACGGAGCGGCAGTGCAAAATAGCATGGATGTGAAGATGTAAGCAAAGCTGACAGTTCTAATTTTTGATTGAAATATGAGTGGTGGGCCATTCCCGGAGGTACTGCAATACCGGGTCAACCCGTGATGAGGGCGGAGCAAGCCCCGTGGCACCTCATCCCATTCTAAAAATCAGTTTAATATCGATGTCTCCATTAGGAGACGTATCAGATATTAAGCTGATAAGAACAGATACTACACTTTGATCTTAGCCGAAAGGCCGAGAAGCGATGCCGGTTGCCGGCTTGCGCCGGCAACCTACATCTACAAACACAACATACCATTAAGGTGATATTAATTTACATGAAGCGCTTATAATCCTTGACCAGCAACACACGCAAAGCTTTTGAAGCGTTTTAAAATGCCAGTGAAGGCGGAATAGTATCTTGCGAAATAGTCTCTAAGAATTGCCTTTATTGTATGCTTATTTCCGTCTTGAGCGATTACTTTTTGTGTCAGTGTTGTAGCATGAGGAGATGTATACTTACATCGTCAATCTAACCATGTTTGAGTGGCTTTTTCATTTTTGACGGAACTACTTAAACTACGTGAGCTCTCTCATTTATTGTTTGAAGCGAAAGTAAAATCCATCATTTACGCATTATTCACCTTCAATGCAATACTGGGTGCTTGGCATCTTGTCGCGTCAAACTCTTGCCAATGGCCTACAGGATTGAGCGATTTTTGTCGCATGTGTTCTGTTGAATATGGCATATTTCATGTCTAATAAAGTGTAACCTATTTATTTACTCGATCGCTCACTCAACCAGCCAAACACTATTGCGTATGAGTATTCATTATCAATATTGCTTTGAGCCGCTTTATTTCCAGCAATGTCAGGGAGTGGAACACCAGAAACAGGCTTCATACGTTGTACCCAAGTGAGGATTCAAACCCGTGTGGCGAACCCACTCGGCTAAACAACCTCCCAGTACTCATTTGTAAGGGACGGTGGGGCAGCTTAGTGGTTTATACGTTCGCTCGTCACGCCGAAGGGTTCGATTCCCGACATGCGTACAATGTTTTAAGCCCATTTCTGGTGTCCCCCGCCGTGAATTTGCAGGAATAGTGCAAAAAGGCGGCGTAAAAGGATACTCACTGACTCACTCTCTTATTCTATTTAAATATACAATGGACATATTAAAAAGATAAATTTGTGTAACATGGAAAGGTAAAACTATTCCTATGAACTGTGGAGTAGTATGTAGAAGACGACCATTTCCACTGTTGTTTGTTTGTTTGTTTGTTTGTTGTTTACCGCCGCACTCAGCAATATTCAGCGGAGCCCATCGGTAATAGAGTTCACGCGTTACAACCGAATGTTCAACTCCCATCATGCGTACAAGGCGTTAAGCTACTTCTGGTGTCCCCGCCGTGATATTGATATTGCTGCAATATTGCTAAACCATACTTTTACTCACCATCACAGAAGACTGAGGACACGTGGCCGAGGAAACGTATTCGCGCACGCTCGGGTAATTCCGCCACATTCAATATACAGTATACCCCCTCCTAACCTTCCGAGTCGAGCCGAGCCGAGCCGAATGTCGACACATTTAATTGTCGACTCACTTAAAGAGGTGAGTATTGGTTAGTGGTGCATGCTTTTGACAGTGCGTACGTGATAAGGTTTAACCTAAGTTAACCAGTGTTAATCTGTATTACGGCAGTACCCAAAAACACTATAAATACATTGCAACCACAGGTATATAATAATTAATGGCTGCTAGGAAAAGAGGAAATACCACAGCTAACGTATGTCACATGGCCTTCAAAGCAGCCAGTATGCCTCTATTCTTTCTAATGCATGTAAAAACAAGAAAATACAAAATACACCCGCGAACGTCAAACGAGATGCAACATCATCCTCAAAGTTGTATTATTGATTGTGAAGTATTAATATCAACAACTGAAAGTTAAACTTCCACAACACATGTAAGAATACAAAAGTAATATCAATACCTAGTTAAGTACATAAATGACAATAGCTTTAGTCATGATTGGATCAGTGAGTGAGTGAGTGAGTGGGTGGGTGAGCGGGTGGGTGAGTGGGTGGGCGAGTGAGTGAGTGGATGGGTGGGTGAGCGGGTGGGTGGGTGGGTGGGCGAGTGAGTGAGTGGGTGGTTGGGTGAGCGGGTGGGTGGGTGGGTGGGTGGGTGAGTGACTGAGTGACTGAGTGACTGAGGTTTTCCGCTTTTAGCAATATTCCAGAAATATCCGGAAAATGGGTACCCATGTGACGAGCGAACGCTTTAACAACCAGGCTGCCTCATCGCCCCTTGGATCAATAAATGACGTCACATGAGCAGGTGACTAGAGCACTGCACCTCAGCGGTCAACTTTGTTCTCCGTACGTTAACCGAAGTACAACGTAAACACTTCACATGTACTACCATTGGTCAACTGACCCTAACTGACCCTAACATCAACATGAGTTCACCTTGGTCGTCCAGGGTTTATAAATCAAACCAAACGGGAGCAGTGAGGGTTACAGTGAACATACAACACGAAATATTGATATCCGAATGAAAATTTGAAGATATAGTCCATATTTTCATATTTACACCATTGTTCTACTTTGTAGTTAGTTAGTTAGTTAGTTAGTTAGTTAGTTAGTTAGTTAGATAAATGTGTATAAAACTCTCACCGACACGGGTGAACAGACTTCCATCTCACGGTAGCCACGGTCAACATACGAGGACAATTGCCACCATTACATAATAACCTTGTGAGTGATGCCGAACACGTACCAAGGCACGAGCTACGGGTATTTTAACCTGATCGCTGCAACCTGATCGCATCACTATTTCTTAAACATTTATTTGCTTACGTCATGTTTTTTTTAAATGCACTAGGATCATAAATTCGATATACTACTAGTCTGCAGCAATGAAACCCACTATACCATATTTATGGCTAATAAAGAAGGCCGCCGGAATGTGTGTATTGTACGCAATAGGACTGTAGACGACAGTGTATGGTTTGTGCAGACATATATTCATTAGTATGAGTGAGTGAGTGAGTGAGTGAGTGAGTGAGTTTGATTTTACGCCGCCTTTAGCAATATTCCAGCAATATCACGGCGCGGGACACAAGAAATAGGCTTCACATTGTACCCATTTCGGGAATCGAACCCGGGTCTTCGACGTGACGAGCGAACGCTTTAACCACTAGGCTACCCGGCCGCCAATGCTCAGTTAGAACAAGCCGAGGGAGGGAGGGATGGGATGGGATGGGATGGGATGGGATGGGAGGGAGCTGATTTTAAAAAAAATCATGTTTATTCATTAATTTTATGTCAAACCAATTTGCTATCGTTTCATGGTATTTCTATTGTGTCTGCCTGTCTGTCTGTCTGTCTGCTTGTCTATGTGAGACCGCTTCCGTAGTACTTTTTGTGTGTTTGTTGTTTACCGCCGCAGTCAGCATTATTCCAGCTAACACGACGTTCCGTAAATAAATAATCCTGATTGACATCATCAGAATCGATCTGCGCAATAGGGATACGATGACATGCATCCACGTCAGCCCCCTCCCGTTAGTCGCCTCTTACGACAAGCATGGGTTGGGCTGCTGAAGACCAACTCTAACCCGGATCTTCACGGGTCCCGTGGTGTCGTGGAGTTCGATAACCTCGTCGCGCCATACACACATGACAGTCGTTCAAATTGTGACACTTCCTGTTACCCTGCTTGGGTATTAAGGTGACAAAACAAGTAGTGGTCAGCTCATGAATTTCATCAACAACAATGTGCTTGAATATTGTGGATTTAACATTGATGTATGTCATCGTATCCTAATTGCGTGGATCTATGCTCATGACGTCAATCACTGGATTATATGGTCCGGACTCGATTATTTACAGACCGCCTTCATATAGCTAGAATATTGCTGAGTGCGGCGTTAAACAACAAACAAACAAACAAAAAAAAACAAAAAAACCTGTATTCTGTTTCGGGTGCATAATCAGTTGTTTACAGATCGGCTTCACATTGATGAAATACTGCTGTACAAATAAACAAACAAACAAACAAACACAAAATAAAACAAAATTCGGTCCTATGCAAGATGGGAGTATGAGTTACATGTGAACGGAGTGTGGGGATGTTACTCTCGTATAATCCCGTAAACCCCATCAAAGACACACATAACGAATTTATCATGACATTATCAGTGAAATATGCTTGCGGTGGCAATATCAGATCTGCCTCACGACTGTCAGTGGGTTCGGAATGGTTCTTGTGAACAGGGTCTTTTATGATGCGCGGACATGTAAAAGACAATGCCGTTACGGTGTCCAAACTTGCATGTTTTTTATAAGGGGGCGACTGACGTCATGTATACTGTCTTATCCTACATTTCCTTTGGAACTCATAGGGGAACGGGTGGCGCAGTCGCCTAAAGCGCCGTAATTCGTCCGGCAGTTGCCTCCCTTGGACACGAAAGAAGCCTATGATTGTGGGTTTCACCGTCATGCATCTCTTCGGACTTTCCTTCCACATTTAACTCTACATTGTCAAAAGCCGCGTTAAACCCTACAGCTGCAAATGCTTTTTTTAACAAAAACATATCGCAACAATGTATCTTTTGTCACAGACAATATATTTTTCTCAACATTCTGAAGCATGTTTTTTTCAGGCATTTTCTGGGACAGTTTATTTTTTTCGATAAAATCACACACACACACACACACACACACACACACACACACACACACACACAGGTAGCCTCAAGTAAACCTCGTCCTCTTTTTATTCAAATAAAACTCGGTGCGGTTGGGCAGCCTAGTGGTTAAAATGTTCGCCCGTAACACCCAAGACCCGGGTTCGATACCCCACATGGGTACTGTGTGTGAAGCCCATTTTTGGTGTCCCTTGCCGTGATACTGCTGGAATATTGCTAAAGGCGGCGTAAAACCATACTCACTATCTCACCCAAATAAAACTCAAAATGTGTCCATTCTGTAACACAACAATAGCTTCACAACATTACAAAAAAGTTTTCGCCATACTTCTTTATTTGTCAACATCCAGTATTACATTCATGAATAGGAAGGGGGATATTCATCAATGAAATTGGGACTGGTGACGATTTGACACATACAATACATACAAAACACATAAGACCCGAACACCAGTCCCAAATACAAGGGCTGAGCTTATGTCATGGCCTATCTGTAGACTACACTAATTAAATATATAACAACCTTGTATTTGGAAGTGGTGTTCAGAGTTATACTTCACACATATATAATATAACAGACAACGCCAAAGCAACGTCAATTGAAACACTTGAAGAGTATAATACAGAGAGTACACATTATTCGGACAATTAACAATAACAGGACAGACAGTACACATTATCCGGACAATTAACAATTACAGGACAGACAGTACACATTATTCGGGCAATTAACAATTACAGGACAGACAGTACACATTATTCGGGCAATTAAGAATAACAGGACAGACAGTACACATAATTCGGACAATCAACAATGACAGGACAGACAGTACACATTATTAGGGACAATCAACAATGACAGGACAGACAGTACACGTTATTCGGACAATTAACAATAACAGGACAGACAGTACACGTTATTCGGACAATTAACAATAACAGGACAGACAGTACACATTATTCGGACAATTAACAATAACAGGACAGACAGTACACATTATTCGGACAATTAACAATGACAGGAAAGACAGTACATGGTATTCGGAAAATTAACAATAACAGGACAGAACGTACAAGCTATTCGGACAATTCATAAAAAACAGGACAGAGAGTAATTCGGACAATGACGTGACGGAGAAATATTAATACAGCAATTATTTCAAGTGTACATCCATGCATTCTTATCATTTCTTTGCCTATATCGTCATTTAACATGGCTATTTCAGAATATCATATTTCATTACTGTGAAGTGATGGTTTAAACTTGCCATATGAAATCGTGGAGGAATGAATACAGATAACTTTCACAACAGCATCTTTCGATGTTCAGAAAAGATGGTATCAATGAAAGTTGTCGCACACATCAACCCGTCGTTCCACTCAGTTATTCAGTTATAATTACAACACTACAGTATCCACCACTTGCATGTTTTAAACAGTTTTGAAATAAAATAGACACAATTTATGGATGGCAACTTCTTTAATACTGTAAAGGCGACGTGTCGGTATAGATCCCGGATCGTTGTCAAACAAGACTGGTACAGGATTAAAGAAGTTGTTATCCATGAATTGTGTCTACTTTGTCATCCGTCAACTTCTAAGTAATGCCTATCAAACAATTCAGTTATGAAATAAACATATACTCTGCCAAAACAGAAACGCGAAAGTAGTAAAATCGTTAATATCTGACGAAGTGTAGCCGGTGTATATATACACAATTAATACAAAACAATGAATTCGCCATTACTGCATATATGTGGATTGGTTTGGTTGTTATCATTACATAGTCTAGGCCGTTCGCCTGTATCTAAATATTTGAGTTAGCCACCAGGACTTCGTGACAACAGCCATGTCAAGCCTTTTCAGAGCGAGTTTCGTGTCAGCAGGTCGCAGGTAGGACGCTAGGCAGTACCTCGTTGAGGGACCGTAACCCCGGTACTACGCTTGTCCGTTCTGTTGCTTCCGTCGGAAACAGTGGTGACTACGCCATCTGTCGTGGCAGCAGTTGAGGGTGGCTGAATCGTTGTCGCGGGTGGTTGAGTCGTTGTCGCGACTGGAGCAAAGAAAGACAAATCTTATTCGCATCAAAGTTTGAAACATGAATGATTTTACTGATTGTTCACACAGAAGAAGCACAATATCAGTGGGGTTGCTATCAGTGGATTGTGTGATCATATGATTTTTTTTGCCTTTTACGCCCCATGAAATCTGTTTCGGCGACGGAAACGGGCGTGAATTACATTCATCGTTAAGCATCGCTTCTTTTTTCAATGTGACATAGAAAATAATGTTGCCGTCACACATGGTTTATAAAGTAAAGTGATGAGAATAGTTACCGCGGCAGAAGGGGTCGTCGCACCAATTACATTCAGTTCGAGCATCATTATTTATCTTTCCATCTGGACACTTGGTGCACTCTGGCTTGAATCCTGTCTCTGAAACATAGCCGTCGTCACATGGTTCTGGAGGGGCTGTCGTAGTTGATGGCGTCGGTGTTGTCCACCTTTTGTCTGAAACGAAATCGTCAGGAGAGGTATATCTCCAGGAATCGACTTGGGTTCGCTTGCACAAAGCGACCTTAACGCTACGACTCCCATACTTAAACAAAGATTTACGATAGTCGTAGCGCTAAGATCGCTGGGTTCTGATAGTTACATCCATGGCAGTGTCCGCATGAGCTCACACATACCGTTGTGTATAAGTCCTACAAAGTAGTTCATACAGTTTGGATGTCGCTGTAGAAAGATGCATATGATTTATTTTGTTGCTTCACGCCGCAATCAGCAGTATTCCAGCTATAGGACGAGTGTATATCCTGTCACTGTGAGCAACGATCAACGCCGTCGGGGTACGATGTTACGCAAGGAATCAAGTCGCCGAACCTTTTAACCTGTTATCCCCAGATGCATACAATGAACTCACACAAAGTTCCTTAATAATATCGAAAATGTAAGTAATACTATGTACATTTAATGTTAACTGACAATCAATTTATCTCGATAAACATTTAAAGGGGGAGTATGCTCCACTGCTTCTTTTTGAGGGAAGAGTCTGAACGTTGTCATCAGTGCTAAGTGCCAACTATGAAAAAGAGACAACAGCCACACACAATATACGATGTATTGTGTTGCTCTTTGCATTAAGAGTCATTCCTACTATGGTACAGATCAGCTAGACAGTCGTTACAGAAGAGTTATCATCGAGAGTGGTTATAGAGTGTCGTTATTGAGAGTGCTTAGAGAGAGTCAACAAAGAGAGTGGTTATAAAGAGTCGTCATAGAGAGTGGTTACAGAGGGTCAACACACAGAGTGGTTAGAGAGTGTAGTCATAGAGGGTGGTTATAGAGTCAACATAGAGAGTGGTTAAAGAGAGTCAACATAGAGAGTGGTTATAGAGAGTCAACATAGAGAGTGGTTATAGAGAGTCAACATAGAGGGTGGTTATAGAGAGTCTACAGAGAGGGTGGTTATAGAGAGTCAACATAGAGGGTGGTTGAAGAGAGTCAACATAGAGAGTGGTTATAGAGCGTAGTCATGGAGAGTGGTTATAGAGAGTCAACATAGAGAGTGGTTAAAGAGGGTCAACACACAGAGTGGTTATAGAGTGTAGTCATAGAGGGTGGTTATAGAGTCAACATAGAGAGTGGTTAAAGAGAATCAACAAAGAGAGTAGTTATAAAGAGTCAACATAGAGAGTGGTTATAGAGAGTCAACATACAGGGTGGTTATAGAGTGTAGTCATAGAGGGTGGTTATAGAGAGCCAACATAGAGAGTGGTTAAAAAGAGTCAACATAGAGTGTGCTTAAAGAGGGTCAACACACAGAGTGGTTATAGAGAGTCAACATAGAGAGTGGTTTAAAGAGAGTCAACATAGAGAGTGGTTATAGAGAATCAACAAAGAGAGTAGTTATAAAGAGTCATCATAGAGAGTGGTTACAGAGGGTCAACACACAGAGTGGTTATAGAGTGTAGTCATAGAGGGTGGTTATAGAGAGTCAACATAGAGAGTGGTTAAAGAGAGTCAACATAGAGAGTGGTTTTAGAGAGTCAACATGGAGAGTGGTTAAAGAGAGTCAACATAGAGAGTGGTTATAGAGAGTCAACATAGAGAGTGGTTATAGAGAGTCAACGTTTAGAATGTTTATAGAGAGTCAACATACAGAGTGGTTATAGAGCTTCAACGTTGAGAATTGTTATAGAGAGTGAACATAGAGAGTGGTTAAAGAGAGCTGTCATAGAGAGTGGTTATAGAGAGTAGAAAGAGAGTCGTCGCAGAAAGTTATCTGAACACACACCAACACAGTCCTTCTTGGATGTCGCCCCCTCGTACCACGTTGTGAAGCCTGGTTTGCAAACTTGGCACTTTTTTCGACCTACGTGTTCCTGGTAGAAACCATATTGACACGGTCTACAGGTACCATCGCGGTCTTTCCTTCCACTTCGGGAGTTTGTCCCAGGTGGACACAGTGTCGGGTCTACTGTCGTCTCGGGTGGCATCTGTGTTGTAGTGACTGAAAGGAGGGGAAATTTAGACTGTTTATGTACTCATCCAATAGAAAGCTCTTAATCAAGCAGGGGTCGGTATTTCGATTCCGGCTATATTATGTGCATGTGTTTACGAATCACCATCAAATAGTGAGGATACCAGTTGTTCGCGTAAAGGTGAGCGTATCCTGCCCCACCGGTGGCACTCATCACAAACACATGTAAAGGCAAGGCATTTGGTACCTGAAAAAACACGGGAACATATGGTACATATCAAAATGTGGAATTGCATCGCTCATCATTCTTGCCACTGATGCGACAATTTTTTTGTCTGCCTTAACAATTTTGGAAAGCTTCACTTAGGCCTTCAATGTTGTAACCTTGATCAAACAACTTCTGAGCAAGAGTCGAATAACACTCTTTGAATGTTGTAACCTTAATAAGCACGAGCATAAATTACCTTGATCTTGCAAACACTCGGCAGACACAGTCAGAAATGCATTTACTGTTAACATTGAGCATTGGTATGGTCGAGAATGTTCAACATATGACTGGATATACAGCAGTAACCCTTCAGGGTATTTATTGATCAAATCATCTTATAAAATAGAAAGGCTGCCTCCTTTGTTGACGTATCAGGCTCATGACTGCAGTTGTTCATAACAAGTAACAAGATTAGTTCCAAATGTTGTTGTATAACCTCAGTGCCACCAACTCACAACTGTGACCTTGTCATAGCCATTGCACAGAAAGCGGAAGGTCAATGCTTCGATCCCTTAACCTGGTCATGTTAAAGACTTTGAAAATCGGTACTTCTTGTTTCCTTGCCTGGCGCTGGGAATTATGGTTATAAAGCAAACCTGGTTGGTTCGGAATGGGGTATCCATGTGATACTGCGGAATGCTGGAACTACGTATACTAATACCACTAGGTTATTATATGGGTCTTTTCTCGTGTGGGCATAGCTGGGACAGGTCCAAGGTCTGCCACATATTCCCTTCGCAGACTGTATTGGTCTGAGACACTCATATAAGACACTTTTGTGTGAATGAGCTACATGTAATTATATTTAATGTGGCCTGTGCCCTGTCGGTGGAGTTTCTATGTCAACAACCTCCGATCGCCCGGTTCCACGTAAAACGGCCGTCAGCTCAATTGAAATGGGAATCCTCTCCCTTACATTTAAAAGGCTCGTCAAAGGGTTCTCGTCAAAGCAGATAGCAAAAGAAAATAACATCACATGTTAAAAAAATGTTGAGGCGAAATATGATGGCAACACTTACAAAGCGTCGTTACAATGCAGAATGAAAGCACAGCCACACAAAAGCCGCTTTGTCTTGGCTAATCGGTATTGAGTAAGGATAGGATTTATGGATGAACAAGTTTATTACAATTAGGAGCGACGTTTCGGTGCAGGTTCTAACACCGTTATCAAGCAGGTGACCACTTAGTGCTCCAAGTTCTAAATGCATCTCAAAGAGGTAATCCGTATTGTCCCGCTTAGGCCACACTTTTTTTATTTCTTGGTTTACGGATTTCAAACTCATTTCAAAAGTCAGGCAGGCCAATTTAAAAAAAAAGAAGAAAAAAAAGCCTCTCACATTTTTTTTACTTGAATTTTGTCCTAAAAAGTTAGGTAGGTATGAAAAAAAATATCCTGGCGTAACAAAAGTCAAATAACTCAATTTTTCAAGAACATTTTATTATATCCCTGGCACTCAGCTTGTGCAAGGATGGTAACATAACAATATTCATGTCATGGGTGGAAATGCATGAAAGACGCTGCTATTTTGGCAGCATGGGCAACGTTTAACTCTTTCAACACCAGCCAACCAGAAGATTACTGCTGTGACATCAAGTTACCAGAGACTCTTGTGTGATAGATGAAACCAACATTTATTAAGGAAATTATCTGCTGAAATTAATATCTTTGCTACTACATGTTTGGCCATACACTATTTGAAAGGTCTAATTAATCCTATTGTTTATAAATATGAAAGTTATGTGTATTACATTATTTAAATAATTCATTAACAACTTAATAAAGTTCGTTTTAAATAAAAATAATGTAAGCTAAAACATTCATAACGTCCAGATTAAGGATCAATGAAGCGCAAATTTAAAGATTTTTTCGCCAAATATAAGAATTCATAAAATCCACATACCCATTTCTTTTTTATTTTCATTTGTTTACGCTGTTGGAACATTATTTTAAAAAGAATTACAAATAATATCTGTCACCACCCATTTCCCGATGATAGTGGCTGTCCCCTCACTAACATGATGAAATACCTCCGTTTTCAAAGCTTCGTATGAATAACACAAACGTCTAAGGCTGCCATGTCGGTATACATTAAAAAAACTTATATTGTTTCACCGACAAAATCTGCTACAAGGTTCGTGATTGGTCAAATTTAAGCACGTGACCTAACGCAGCCAATCAAATTACAGCAACGGTATTTTTCAGACTTTGGCGAAAGGTTTGGGTTAAATCATGTTATTCTGAACGGTTAAGCATGGAATCGCGATCTATATTAAAAATATGGAACTTTATGGATGTATAGAGCTAGGTTACGAGCTATGACAAAGATTTCTTATGCATATATTTTGGCACTAAGACATCGTGTCCGAGCCGAGAAATCGAGGCGACGAAAGGCGAGATGTCATTTGACTGACGATTACTTGCGATCGCACGAAAAGTTGGAAATAATAACTAAGATGTCAGTTTGGCAACTTTTATAGATACATTTTTGAAGATTTTATTTCTTTGTAAATAAAGACGTTTCAGGACGTGAAACGTCTTTATTTTGCTGTTTGACATGTTCGATGTGACAAGTAGGTTAATATAATTATAAACTATTTTGACGTGACTTGGACGGTCTACCGTGCGGTGTGACTTGTGGCTTTGAACGTCCAACAGTGTTGAAATAGTTAAACTGGTCACCACTGCGCTTTGCGTTGACAAGCTATGATGGTATTAGAGAAGGATCCCAGCAAGAAATATCAGAGTGACTTCCCTTTGCTTTACGCTCGACGAGAAAATGTAATCTTTTTTTTTGTTTGAACTTTTTGTCGAAAATATCGGCGGTAATAAAAAAAGGGTAATTTTCATTTTTATTTTTTTTTAACATTTGGACTTTGAAAGAGCGGCGCATCCGTAAACCAAGAAATAAAAAAATTGTCGCCTTAGCCTGAAGTAGGATGGAGCCTCATCCAGGCTTATCACAGACCCTTGATCAATAAAACTGAACATTATTCAAGGCAGCATTATACCAAACTCAGCCACTCCTTATACAATACCTGTGACATTTTCCGTGGTGACATTCACACTCCTCTTCACACCCGGCCCCTTTACGGTGACGGCCCACACGTACACTGTGTATTCAGTGACGGGTTCCAGGTCAGTAATCGTTACCCTGGTGATATTACTGCTTGTGACATTAAGATATTCCCGTATGTCTTCGCTGTCAGATGCTGGAGTAAATGAAATACCTTAGATGAAATACAACTTTCGTATTGCATTATGTTTGACAACCTCATTGAATTGAAGTCTTAAGGACATGTCGACATTAGATCAAGTTATCGATAAGGATTAGGGACATTGAAGTTACTTGTTAATCAAAATCGAGGTTACTGTGCTTCAAGGAGGAATGAGCCTTCTTACATGACACATCATAAATAACAAATCTGGTCCAGACTCGTTATTTACAGACCGCCGTCATATAGCTTGAATATTGCTGAGTGCGGCGTTAAACAACAAACAAACAAAGCCTAACAGAGTTGACATTTACGCTCCTGAATACGCCACTCATGGAACTATCGGGTCACTCAATGAGAAAAACTATTTTTTGACAAGTAAATACAAATGTCTCCTATGTATAATGTCAATCCTTGATTCCATACATAATCTGTCTCACCTATCGTCCAACAAAGACAATCTGACGGAAAGAAATACATATATGTTAAATACATAAGATTGTTTAAATTATAGAAACAGCCTTGCCTTTTAACGACTTAAAGCATGTTTTAAAGTACATGTAAAATGATACTGGTGAAACTAAGTTATCTTATGTACGTCGTTCTTTTTAAATCTAAGAATAGTGTAGTGATACAAATAATGTAGACATCGTCTCACACGGTGACTGACTGCACTACCTCGGCTTAAACTAGAAACTGGTATTAGAAAACGTGTTTCGTTAGCCTCCAAACCTTTATGGAATGCGCTGCCGTATCCGATGAGAGTGTCACGTGGAGTTTTAGGCTTAGCCCACTTCAATGTCACGAATGTTGACCCAATGTCGGCTTTTCTCAGCCTAAACACCTGTGTGGATTGCTCTGAAATGATAAATGAATAATGAAAAGAACAAATTGAAGGCTGTGTTTGTCTTTTCAAAGCAATATTATCCCCCAACTTTATTCAACACTAGATATTACACAAAAAACGCATTCAACTTGCATTTCACCAAAATAACAATTCATATTTATATTCACTTGTGTAAACTGACGGGCAAAAGAAACGCCACCAAACAATTTTCAGGTCTAAAACAAAACAGACGCAAAATTAAGTAATAGTTGATGTTTTATTATAAAAAAAACCAATTATTCAAAAACGGTATTTGAAAATGACAAGATCAAAAACCATGTACTTAAAGTTCTGCAGACACGCTGGGTGCACTGTCAAGTATTCGATCATACCCGCAGAATCGACGTAGATCTCTTTCAAAGTCCCGTGCTACACACATGGCTCAGTATCGGATGTGACCCCCTCCAGCAACGATGCAGGCCCTAACACAACGTTGAACTGAGTACACGAGTCTCCTGACATCCTGATTAGGGATCCTACGCCATTCTTCCTGTAGGGCAATTGCCAAGGCATCCATTGTCAATGGCGTCTGTTGATGTTTCCGAATTCTGCGTCCCAGTTGCTCCCAGAGGTGCTCTATGGGCGACAGGTCCGGTGATCTGGCTGGCCACTGTAATACGGTCACGTTGTTGGCGTTCAGAAAGTCGCTAGTGACTCGAACTGTATGAGTGGTGGCGTTGTTCTGCTGAAACAGCGTCCGTAGGCGTCGTTGCAGGAAAGGCAGTACCACAGGCCGCAAAACCTCATCAATGTAACGACGTGCAGTGAGATGTCCGTCGATGATGACCAGATCTGGCTTCTGATCCCCGCAGATGACATTCCAGACCATGACACTACAACCTCTTGGACGCAACAACGTGCCGTCCGTTCACCACGTCGTCGGTAGATTCGAACCCGCCCATCAGACTTGAAAAGCTGGCACCTACTCATGTCGCTGGAAACATACTTCGCCAATTTCTCTGCTGCCACTGCTGTAGAGTCCTGGCCCATCTCATTCTGTGACATCGGTGTAGAAACGTTAACGTCATGCCCTTGAAAGTTCGATAGGCACGGAGGCCTTACAAGTGGAGTCGTCTAGCAACGGTCCTTCTGCTAACTGGATGTCCAAGGCTGTTTGCGGATGATGACGTCACAGTTAGGAATCTGGGTCGTGACCTTGGGTCTTCCACTCCTCGGCTGTCTGCAGTACTGCCAGTTTGCCTGTGACGTGAGATAAGTCTGGCGATGGTGAACTTGAAGCATTTGCAACATACCGATGGCTCTCTCCCTCTGCTCTGCGGTTAGTGGAGGCATGTTCGTTGTTTTAAACGGTTTCATTTGATGAGAGAGTATAAGCCTGCTCATGTTTTGTACCAAAATTTCATTCAGGTAACTTTGTGCACATTTTGCAATTTTTAGTGATTAAATTCACTTTTCTCGCAAATCACGTGTAACGCGTGCACATTTTCATATGGAATGGGTAAGTTGCATTCCAAGTGTGTGTTCCCAACTGTTTTCGAGCTGTTTGGAAAATTTGTTGAAAACTGGCGACCGTTATTTATTTGGTTGCGTTTCTTTTGTCCGCTAGTTTAGTTATGTGTGTCGTCGTCATCTTCCCAAGGCAAGGGAGATAACAAACTATATGCGTCCAGCTGAACTAGGCTGGGATTTCTCGGCTCGATCGTAGCTCTTCCAGTGGCTATTACGAGTAATGTCCCTTCTTCGTCCCTCCTATTGACAAATCAGATTCCGCCTCTTCAAACAAAATGGCGGCGCTCGGTCAAGACGATATGATCGATATCTATATCAAGATCTATATTGTAAAAGAACGGTTCTTACCTCGTGAAGTGCATCAAATCATATGGGCACCTTGATGAAAAACATGAAAAGATTTGGAAAATATCTGTCGACGCCCAGTTGACAGTACACATCCTTTGCAAATCCTTCAGTCGACTGAAATCTACACGTTGAAAGCCATATTGTTTACGAAGCGGATGTTGGTTTCGTTACGCGATTTTGATTGGACTAAGGACAGGCTCGTTAGTCAAGCCAAACTGTAACTCCATAATACCAGTCTAGTTCGGCATGGGTGGAAATTGGACTTTTATAGTCAGTTAACTCCCTTGCCTCGGGAAGATGGTGTGTGGTGCTGATTTTACGAAACGAGCGAGAGTAATACATGAATTCTTACACGAGTTTGGTTAAGAGCAAGTGTAATACTTTCTTTATTCCCCATTATTTCTTCATGTTTTTGAGTCTCTCTTTCGAAACTGTAAAATTATTGTCCCCCTGAGAGGGCATAGTAAGTCCATATCATTCGACGTCTGTTATTCCTATCATAGTTTTAATCGTAGAATATATGTTCTTTTAAATACAGCTACATTCCCTAATCGTCGCCAACAACTGAAGGGATGATGTAAATCCTGCTGGGGTCCATGCAGGTAGCAAAGGTACTGTAAGTCCCCATGGTCCCCAGTATGGTGATCTACCTTCAGTTGCTGGCGATCTATAGCCCATTTTAATGTATTGTCCTGTCTAGTGATGTATTTTTATGGTTCCCTGCTAGTTTTAAATAATAATCTGTGATAAGTCTAGTTATTTTACTGTCCCTTGTCGACAGGTTTTTATGGTTTACATGTATTTATTATATATAACTTTTGAAAGTCACGATATGGCTGAAATATTGCCGATGTGACTTAAAATCTTAACTCACTCACTCACTCACTCTCTTTCGAAAATGCACTGGTCACGACCGCAGCCTATAAGACCTCGTGGATGTCGTCAACAGTCTTCAGCCCTGACATCGTTTCTAGTGTGACGTTAGTCCGACTTTATGTCAATAATATTTGAGTCATGACAACAATGTCGTCAAGATGATGTTAACAATACACTGGTGCGCGTGAAGTAATATTTGCACAAGAGCACATACGAGGTTTAGGAACTCCGTTATTTGGAACCCTATGGGTAATACATGTCCGTTACTATACTTACGATAACAGTCTGATTGTTGTTCACTACCAACGGAAGGAGTGATTTCCTTTTCTGCACAGGATTTGCATGTCGTGCTCCCCTCCAGTGCTTGGTACTGACCGATAGGACATTTGGTGCATGGCTCCAACCCGGTATCGGAGTAAGACCCATTAGGACACGGAGCTATCAGGGGAGAAAATGTTTCGTTTATGAATTTCCTCCTTGTCGTGACCTAATTGATTCTAGATCATAATTCAATAGCGACTAACTTTACTGACATTACATCTTACTCTTCATTTCATCCAACATTAATCCAATCAATATGAAATGGCCCTATCATACACTGGATAACCGACGATGCTCCCTTCTTCATTCATAGTGGCATAGGTTGCAAATTGGTCTCAGGCAACACAACTCGCTGTGTAGAGTTGCGTTTCTTAGCTGTACGAGGATCCGGGTTCGAACCCCACATTGTCATTATGATCACTGGTTTATCCTCCGCCTTAATATGGCCTTAATATATTCCTAACTTTCCTGCAACCTTCATTGATTATTAACTGCTTCTTCTTTCTTCCTTCCGTTCTTTCTGTCCTTAATTCATAATGGAACTGCTATATAAATTGTAATTATAGCATGATAATAGCGTGTCATATGCATGTCACGTTCGCATGTGGAAATCGATATCACAGATTGCAATTTCTTAATACTTTCGTTTAAGTTGATGTTATAAATATATAAAAAGTGGTACATTTGTCATGGCAATTGAATATGCTGTCATCTATATTTTAACATGTGAGCTCACCAGTAATAAGACATTAGTTGGCTCGCAATTCCAGGCGAAATGCAAGCAGTTTGCAAGATGTATTGACGCTTATTTTTGATGAGGCTACAAGACGAATATTACACAATTTCATATAAATCTATACACAAAGTTCTGCTGGAACGTATTAAATTAGTGTCCAAAATACATTGATCCTTAACATCCCAGCAAAAGCTGTACTATTATTTACAATCGACGTTATTTATGCACTGCTGCCAAACAAACCCCAAACTGCTGGACCAGTCTCGTAGCACAACTATTGGACCAGTCTCGTAGCAAAACACGGAGAAGTCTCGTAGCACAACTATTGGACCAGTCTCGTAGCAAAACATGGAGAAGTCTCGTAGCACAACTATTGGACCAGTCTCGTAGCAAAACTGTTGGGCCAGATTTAAACCTTTGTACTATCCGGACCATAACTACGGGACAGTCGAAAGGCACGATGTAATTCCTTAAACTGCGATCGTGTACATTTAAGAGGCCGAATGTTCAAGTGTTCCTTACCTTTACAGTCTTCTCGGCTTCTTCCAAGGGTTAATGTGAACGTGCCTGCAGGACACTCTCTACATGTAAGATTGCCTGTGTCATCTTGGTATGTTCCTGTACGACACATGCGACAACCGGTATGCCCGTCATATTCATAGCCTACCCCGCATGCAGCTGAAAGAGATTAGAAACTGTAACAGTTCTATATGTAAAACATGCTAGATCAGTCATTAGTCAACACACTACGGCGTGGCACTTAAATGAAACCTGTGACAGTGTTTATTTTAAGTCCGTTAAAATTATGAATCGCACACTTTGACAGTAATTAAAATGCATCAGCCTCTGTCTACTTCTGCTATGTCTGACCTTGCCTTCTCCTTTTGCAGTCCACAATTATGGAACTCTTTGTCTTTGAATCTGAGAAACTCTGCTTCTAAGGAAACGTTTAAGTCTCTCCTCAAAACCCACCTCTTCACCTCAGCTTTTCAATAGATCTCCCCATTGTTGGCACATAGACATTACTTTATAACTTTGTCAAAGCGCCAGTGAGCAACTGTCGATGGATATTAGGCGCTTTACAAATCAATTATTATTACACTGATGTGGCCTTACCACAGCCTCTTGATGCCTTGTCTGCAGCGTATTGAGCGTCACACATTGCGGTTACAGGATATTTCTTGTATATAATTCTTCTACTCCTCCTGCCAATAATGTTGAGTGTCTTCAGATTAACTTTAAGCCAGTCGTTTATTTTTAAGCCGACTGTTCTCATCACGATGTCCGCAACTTCAGTAGCGTCGGTTTCAAGGAGTCTCCTTCGCACTTCCATTTTTACAACCATGAACAGCTGCCCTCGACGATTTCCTTTGCATGCGGCCCTTATGTTTTTAATGTGACACATCGGACAATTCGAATAGAAACTTTCAAGTCTTAATATATTTTCAAATGTGTCGGTAACATTTTGTGTATCTTCTTCTGTGCACGTGGAAGACCAATAATAACCAAGAGACGTTTCAAGAACGGAGGAGTCTCTTTTCTCTGAAATGACATGAAAGCTTATGTTGTATAATAAGCATATGTTGCATCCGGGACGTGCATGGTATTTATTATAATAACATGGAGATATAATTCTCTGGATACTCAAGGGCAAAAGCGCGTACGTTGCTTTTCCTCAAAAGGATCAATGTGAACAGGATGCAATAAATGAATTAGTGAGTGAGTATGGTCATAGCAATATTCCAGAAATATCACGGCGGGGGACACCAGAAATGGGCTTCACACATTGTACCCAAGTCGGGAATCGAATCCGGATCTTCGGCGTGACGAGCGAACGCTTCAACCACTAGGCTACCCGACCGCCCTTGAAGCATATGAAGCCATCCCTTATAATGTATGTCTCACAAATGTGAGAGTTCACGTCGTACACTGACCTATATTAGTGTGTGCTTGTGGTTGTTGTTTGTTTGTTCCAGCTATATATATGACGGCGGTCTGTAAATAATCGAGTCTGGACCAGACAATCCAGTGATTGACATCATGAGCACATCGACCCACGCCATTGGGATACGATGACATGCACCAAACAAGTCAGCGAACCTGACCACCCGATCCCGTTAGTCGCCTTCTTCGACAAGCATGGGTCACTGAAGACCTATTCTCAACCGGATCTTCACGAGTATTGTGTGGTAATGATACATCTTTATGTCAAAGAATAGTTACGTTTGGAGAACTAACTCAATGTATTGTACCTGTAGTTTTGACGGCATTAATGTCGAGCTGAAATTTTGAGCTGAACGCGCTCATTAACAGGTAACAAAGCTCTTCATAGTGCCCTCCAGTATCAAGGTGAGGTGAAAAGGGGGTTTAGCGTCGCGTCCAAGATTATTGCAGTTATAAAGCGACGTGCATGTACGTGTTGGGGCGGCTGCTTGTACTAATCGGGACCGATGCCGATTTATAGTGCTAGCCCACTGAGATACCATGCCGCAGTTTAACATGAATACCCCACTCAGATACAGTTTACTGACTCCGAACCGACCAGTCCTTGTTTTAGCCCCTTAATGCCGAGCGCCAGACAGGATAACAACAAGTACCATCGTGGTATGACGCGGCTGGGGATCGAACCCCGGACCTTCCTCTCTCCGGGCGGACGCCCTAGCCTGCCTCTAGACCACGGAGGCGGGCCAGAAGGAAATATGATGTAATAACATGATACTCACTGACACAGCCAGGGTCGTCGTTGTTTGACCATACGCCTTGAGCAGGAGTACAAATAAGGGATTCAAACATGTTGGCATTTCTGGCAGGTATTTTTCCAAGATTGCATTGCACACTGCAGATCTGGCCTCCTGAGAACTCTCCGCAGTTCATTTTGGAATTAGGAGGATCCTCTGGGATGATACATTCCTTTTCTGCAAAAGATACATCAAGGATCAATTAATAGGTGTTGTGTTACCCCAGGCAGCAATATGCCTGCGTGCCGCGCTACGACTTGGTTAAGATATGGGAGTTACGATCACGTAAGTGCTAAGATCTCTTTGTACCCTGCTATATTTGTTTGTTTGTTGTTTAACGTCGCACTTAGCAATATTCAAGCTATATGACGGCCGTCTGTAAAATAATCGAGTCTGGACCAGACAATCCAGTGATTGACATCATGAGCATCGATCCACGCAATTGGGATACGATGACATGCATCAACCAAGTCAGCGAGCCTGACCACCCGATCCCGTGCTATATAACCATACTGTAATAATGTAATGTATATGTTATTAGTTTCCAATTTAGTTATCTTTTTGTCAGACACTCTTGTATCAACGTCAGTGCATGTCGGATGACAGTAATGTACAGTCAACATGACGTCGTGTGTTAGACGTCACGTCACTAGATGTGATGCCAGAAATATGTTTGCTATTCGAGTAACTGCACTGGGTTTTATGCTAGCGGGGATACATTTAATATCCATATTCCCCCTAAATAGGACCTTGTAAGTTGTTCGGTTAAATACAAAATAGTCGTGAATAACGAGACGTACAGCTCTACTTAGCCCATACAATTCGGCATACTCCGTTACTAAACTGAGGAGCAAAAGAATCGATACCTCTCAGTTGATTATACCTGCTGTACGTCCTACCTGTCCTAGGGCATGGCAAGGCTATATGGCAAGGCTATACTAACATAAGAGTGTCCCTTCGAACGATGTGGCTTTACCCGCATAAACATTGCGTGCGTTAGCTTTTACACTCCTTTGAGCAATGTCCTGGCATGTCAGCCCTAACGTCGAAGCAAAACCCTCGAGCACGGGGATGGTCCTGACGAATCAACGATATTGATCACCCCTCTGGTATTCGAACCCATTGGATCCTGACATACCCGAGGGACACATGATTCAAATACACGCGCAAATGTGGCCCCGCCGTCTGAGGCACTGCCAAAAACCTATGATTATGGGTTCGAATCCCGGTTCGCCCCGATTATGTTTCTGGGTTTGCCAGAACCATACCCTTGCTTGTGGGTTTCACCAAAGTGGTAAAAGTTTGAGAACTGCATCAATTCGGGCTTTCATCCCACATTAAGCTGCCACGCCGCGATATAGTTGGAATGCTGTTCAAAGCGACGTTAAACCCAACTCACACACTCACTCAAAACACGCCCTCTATTTTTCACAATATCCATCATATCCAGAGAAAAAAATAGTACAATTTTTTTCTGGAACAAAATTACTTTTAAAAGGAAAAAGGTTTTTTAAGCTTCTAGCAAAGTCATAGTATCATTTATCAATTACCGTCACAAGAAGGCGTTCCGCCTTGAGTGTCCCACGCCATAGTGCCGTTGATCAGCTCGCACGTAATGTTGGACGCACCCAATAAAGTTATACCATGGGTGCACGATACACTGCAGGATGAACCATGTGTAAATTGGTCACCACACTTGACCTCCAGTCGGGGATGCCCAAACACTGGGGCTCGGCAGCTTCTCGCTTGAGGATAAGGAGATGGGATATATGTCTTTACACGGTAATCAACATTTCAAAAATAACGAAAGCCCTGTATAACAAATAACAAGACACCTATAATGAAACTATGTATAAGTGTGCATACAATTTATATTATTTCCCGATATGAACCCGTTGTTAATTCAACACCTTGGCGTGTTCAGGGACCGACAATTTCATATTCGGGGAATGGGGGGGGGGGGGGGGGAGGAGGTTGTTCGTGGAGATTGTGCGTTGGGTTGGGATTTGTATGGAGATTAGATTTACATGTATTTTTCAGCTAAACCACATATTTGCTTTTAAAATAAACCTTTTATCCTTGATATTTACAAAAAAATGTATGAACTGACAATTTCTTTTTGTCATCATGACAACAGTCAGACATTTTTTTCATTTTTTTTTTTCATTTTTTTTTTTTTTTTTTGGGGGGGGGATAAATCCCTACGCCCTTACCTTCCAGGATATCAAATAGCCGGTCCCTATCGATTCAGTATCATATTGAATGACATACCGTAATTTATTTATTACTAGTCGCAACACACAAGTTTCATTTTGGAACAACCAATCAAAACAAATAAAAAAAACACTGCCAAGTGGAAATCACATGTGAACACAAGATCACTTTTACCCAATGTGTTGCTACCATTCTATTTCGACTTTCGCGTTACAGAGATCAATATGTAATTACATTCTGAAGATCTCTACCCTGACCCATCAGTGTTTGATTACTATTATTCACGAGTGCTCTTATTTGTGATATACGCTGATATACGAACGTTTTATCATGAAAAATCAACGTTTAACAAATGAAAGTGTGATGAACGTAGTTGTACTTACTTACGACATTTACCATAAACGAGCATTCATCCGTTAGACCGGTATCATCGACAGCTTCATACGTAATTTCGTGCGATCCAACTTCAAAACGAGAACCACTTATGAATCCTTTCCTCAGAATAATTGCGACATCGCTGTCAGAGTTATCCTCGGCGACAACTTCTGGCCACACCACCACGGCTGAGTTTCTGCCTCTTTCTGCATATTGTTTGATGAATCCCGGTGGACAGTTGGTGATCCGTGGTGCTCGTACATCTTATAACATCATGAGACACTGAGATAGTATGTCAAACCAAATATATATATCAAAAATATGTTTTGAAGTCGTCTAAGGTGCCGCGATTCGCTGTGCAGAGTTGCGTACCTTGGGCACGCCAGAAACCTATGATTGTGCGTTCGAATCTCTACATGGGAAAGAGTAGAACTATTTTTCTAGAAAAAAAATGGATATTTGTTATTATTTCCAATTTAGTATACATTACCCATACTTTGCAATATTACATACAACAATTGAACGAATTATAGTTACAGTCATAGATAATCACATTTTATATGTGACATCAGTGAGTCAGTGAGTTTGATTTTACGCCGCTTTAAGCAATATTCCAGCAACATCACAGCGGGGGACACCAGAAATGGGCTTCACACATTGTACCCATGTTGGGAATCGAACCCGGGTCTTTGTTACATTGGAGGAAGGGCCGGAGTGATGTAGGCCTAAGAGGTTTGGGAGACCCGAGAGCAAGGATATGGTGTTGATAAACCTAGAAACATAACCACGGCCGATGTAGATGCGAACCCAAGACCATAGCTTTCTGGCACACCCAGATGACGTAACTCTGCACAGCGAATTGCAGCGCCCTTAGACGACTGAACCACCCTTGCCGACAGTTTATTGATAATATTTTCTTATATATTGAGAATGAATTTAATTGTCTCATATACTTTTCCAAGATGAAAAAGTGGACCATTAGTTGCTACAGACCTTTGCACACAGGCATTTCCGTCCATGTCTTGTTCGCCTGACACTTAGTTCCTGCAACCTGCCAAGGTGCTCGATCGTAAGCGTCTAGCCTAAAACCCTGCTTGCACGTTAGGCTGCACCCACTCCTGAAATTATTATGATCACCACAGAACCACCCCGCTCCATTTTCCGGCAGTTGAAGGACAGGGCACTGAATGGCTGCAAATACATACAAACATTTAAATAACTTTTTAAAAAAACCCATTTCGAACCTCTATTATCGAAATCCTTAACGTGACCTATCTCAAATTCCCTTCCCATTTGAAGAAACTATGAGACACGAGAGACATTCCAACCAATACCCGCTGCGAGTAGCTTGTCCAAAAGTACTGTTGTACTGAGTTAATATATATTGCTTTTCACTATTTGTCTTTAGCTACCCAAGCAAGAAAAGGTCACAGTATGTGGTGACAAACTACAGTCGCTGGATGATGTGCCGTAACACCTGGCAGGTGTGACCCCCCCCCCCCCCCCCCCCCCCTCTCCCCGGTCTCAAAAGACACACACAATATACATCATAAGTCAATTTGTGCAATCACACTAATATATATATTTGTTTCTTTGTAAGCAAACAGGTACATATTTTTTATTAGTCTCTCGTTTATTCAATAACATTTCGAATATGTTAGAAGTCAGTTTCTTCTTTCCATCATCTATTTTAAATATTGTAACTTGTTTCAGTATTTTCCTTTGAAGGACCACTTCAAACTCTAAATTTGACCAAACTTTCTCACCTGTAAATTGTCCTTTGAACATTTATTTTGTATTGTTATTCTCAACAAACAGTTTTTGCTTGCAGTTATAACTTTGTTAATGTGTTGTTTCCATGAGTGATAATATATTGTTAACGCTACGAATTAAAAGCCAGACATTTATTAATTTCCGACAGTACTTTAACACTTCCAGGTCAATTAATTTGTTCATGATGACAGGCACAGACCCTATATTTCTACAAACCTGTACATGCTGAAACAGATGATGGTACAAGTAATACCCTTAATGCAATGTTAAAGGTAGAAACACATTTCTGTTGTCTGTAGTAATAGATTACACACATCTAGGTCCATGTGTCGCAGATTAATTAAATTCTGATAAAGCATACCTTTAACACGTTGAAGTATCAGGTATTTTGTTTTGCAAAACGGTAGCAACATAATCTATCCGAACAGTGCCTGTAATATTATCCGCTGATATGTCTGTGCCAGAAACGACACGTAGTTGTGAAGTATAGGATATGAAGGCAATGGAATCATTAAAAGAATGTACTCAACAGTTTGTTCCACAATGTATAACCTATAGGGGCCGGAAATTCAACAGCACTGTCATTTACGTTTCTACGTGGCTCGTCTACATGGAACTCACTATTCTACACGACGTTCATATTTTCATTCCTTGTGTCTTTCTCATGATATACGAACCTGGCGCACTCTACAACCATAAATGACAACCCTGCACACTGATACAAGTTACTACGTGCATTTATCAGTCGTAACGACCTGGATATTCCGGGTTGTAATAGGTTCCACCGATCTGTGCTTGTACGAGGCCACTAACTTGGTGGAATTATCATGTTCGTTTGCTTGCGTGTTAACTTGTCCGACGGACGATGTTAATAATATCAATCTCTGGCTTGTCTTGTCAACGATCCATTATTTACAAACGCCGTCATAAAGCTTGAATATTACTGAATGTTTTAAAACAAAATAAAAATGATTGGTTGTAGCAATTATATATGTGCCCATCAGTTAACTGAATTAAAAATGGCAAACATTCTCGTAGCACAGCCGACGACACAGATATCAATGTTACGAACTCAAGAGGGGGTCTTATGAGAATGCCGAGGGGAGTTCAATACGTTTTGCAGCTTCAATATAAGACCAAGTCGCAGAATATATTTTGCACTTTTATTTTTCAATATAATCTTCCTTCACCTCAATACACTTATTCCATTTGTCCTTCAAGCTTTTAATACCACTTTTATAGAAATCCGCAGATTGGCCCTCCAAGCACGCCTCTGTGGCAGCCGTTATGTCCTCGTTATCCTGGAAGCGTCTTCAACGTAGGGCAGATTTTATTTGTCGGAACAGTAAATAGTCACTGGGGGCTAAGTCTGGGCTGTAGGGTGTGTGATTTAACTGTTCGAACCCGCATTCATATATTGCGGCCTGTGCATGTCTCGACTTGTGGACCGGAGCATGTAAGGAACTTAATTACAGTGCGTTGTTCATGTTTGAGAGAATCCATGATTGTGACCACCCGTAGGTGAATGGAGCCACCACATCTATCTTATTGTTGTGTCTGGAACTTGTTATGACACCTGTCAACCTGATGTTATGGCTGGTGTCACACCTGCCACAAGTTGACATTGTTTGTGTAAACACAAATGCCCAAGTTGCAAAACTTATTGAACGCCCCTCGTACATCATGCAACGTTACATTGATTACCACTTCGCCGTATGGCTTAATATTTGATATTTCCTGTACATAATTTAGTCTTCCTCGATGATAATTGAAGATCACAACCAAAATGCACCGCTCATCAAAACAAATATATGATGAGAAACACCTGTTACTTGATAAGGTGAGACATATAGCCTCCGTGTATCCCGAGACTGAACATGATGCAACATTCAACATTGGCATGCTGGTAAACAGTGTGGCTTACTTTTACACTGTGTACTTTCTGTGGAATAGCGTCCATTCTCCTTGCAGGTTATGGTGGAAGGTCCAGTCAACTCGTAACCCGTTTCACAGGATAAGTGACAAGTATTACCATGATAAACATAGTTTGTACTGCAGTTATTAGACCCATGGGGTATCGGCCATGACTGACACAGGACCTCTGAAACACAAATACTAGTTTATGGGAACGCCAGAAAATAGAACACACATTCTGCTAATACTTACCGTATTCGACATAATAAGCGCACAGGGCGCTCTCAAAATTAGAAATAGGGAGCTCTTATTAGAACGTTATTTTGGTGAAGGATAAATTTTGTGGTTTATGCTGACAGCCTGAAATGTTTATGTACGACATATGTATTTTTTCAAATTAAATGCCCATAATTAAGGGTGCATATAATACACGAGTGCGTATTATACGCGAATAAATAAGTCTTGTGTACATTGATCAATCGGAAGGGGTGCTAATTGGGATTGTTTACTAGCCAGTATCTTAGCAAATATCGCCGTGGGCGCTTATTGGAGCAGGGCGCTTATTACGTCGAATACGGTAACTATGTTCATATCGGGTACATTCTTTTGTAAACAAACAATGAGGCATTGCTGACTACATTTGTGCAATGGATCTACCATTTGATATTCATTTGAAGATTGGGAGACAGAATGGAATTTTTGTAAGAGTGAGTGAGGGAGTTTGGTTTTACCCCGCTTTTGGCAATATTCAAGTAATATTACGGCGGGGCACACCAGAAATGGGCTTCACACATTGTACCAATGTCGGGATTCGAACCCATGTCTTGGGCGTGACGAGCGAACGCTTTAACCACTAGGCTACCCGACCGCCCCTATTTTTAAGACATGCAATTTCTTCCTCTGACCAACAAAACATTGCTGTTCAGGGCATCCACTATGCCCACTTACAGTTTTGTAAAACCTGAGTGTTAATTCCTATTTTGAATCCTCGCTTCCCCTACAGTACCAATTGTCATCCACGTCAAATGATAAATTGTGTTTTCAGTTGTGTTTGTTTGTTCTTTAATACACACATAGCAATATTCCAGCTATATAACAGCGGTCTGTTATGAATGCGATCTGTAAGTAATCGAGTCTGGACCAGGCAATCCAGTGAGTGACATCATGAGCATTTAGACATTGTCAATGTCGTTTTTATTCATGTTGGGGATAACAGACTCTGCATCATGTGACGCCGGACATTTTTGAAAAATATGTTTCGTGTTTATGAAAAGAGCACATATTTAACGGATCACATGTGTTCCTGTGTAATATTTTACGGGTCACATGTGTTCGTGAGTGATGTGTCCCAGGTCACATGTGTTCGTGAGTGATGTGTCCCAGGTCACATGTGTTCGTGAGTGATGTGTCCCAGGTCACATGTGTTCGTGAGTGATGTGTCCCAGGTCATATGTGTCCGTGAGTAATGTTTCCCAGGTCACATGTGTTCGTAAGTGATGTTTCCCAGGTCATATGTGTTCGTGAGTGATGTTTCCCAGGTCATATGTGTTCGTAAGTGATGTTTCCCAGGTCATATGTGTTCGTAAGTGATGTTTCCCAGGTCATATGTGTTCGTAAGTGATGTTTCCCAGGTCACATGTGTTCGTGAGTGATGTTTCCTAAGTCACATGTGTTCGTAAGTGATGTTTCCCAGGTCATATGTGTTCGTGAGTGATGTTTCCCAGGTCATATGTGTTCGTAAGTGATGTTTCCCAGGTCATATGTGTTCGTAAGTGATGTTTCCCAGGTCATATGTGTTCGTAAGTGATGTTTCCCAGGTCACATGTGTTCGTGAGTGATGTTTCCTAAGTCACATGTGTTCGTAAGTGATGTTTCCCAGGTCATATGTGTTCGTAAGTGATGTTTCCTAAGTCACATGTGTTCGTGAGTGATGTTTCCCAGGTCATATGTGTTCGTAAGTGATGTTTCCCAGGTCACATGTGTTCGTGAGTGATGTTTCCCAGGTCATATGTGTTCGTAAGTGATGTTTCCCAGGTCATATGTGTTCGTAAGTGATGTTTCCTAAGTCACATGTGTTCGTAAGTGATGTTTCCCAGGTCATATGTGTTCGTAAGTGATGTTTCCCAGGTCACATGTGTTCGTAAGTGATGTTTCCTAAGTCACATGTGTTCGTAAGTGATGTTTCCTAAGTCACATGTGTTCGTAAGTGATGTTTCCCAGGTCACATGTGTTCGTAAGTGATGGTTCCCAAGTCACATGTGTTCGTGAGTCATTTTTCCCAGGTCACATGTGTTCGTGAGTGATGGTTCCCAAGTCACATGTGTTCGTGAGTCATTTTTCCCAGGTCACATGTGTTCGTAAGTGATGTTTCCCAGGTCACATGTTTTCGTGAGTGATGTTTCCCAGGTCACATGTGTTCGTGAGTGATGTGTCACGGTATCATGTTCACGTCTATGCTGTTTTAAACATGTGACATTTGTAAACTATTGTTATACAGAGGTTCATGTATTTATGTAAATGGAACATATAACAATGAATGGAATTATTCTGTCAGTGTTTCATATGATTAAAACCTGACTGTATTAAAGGGACTTTTGGGGAAATCATATATGTATTGTGACATTTTATGGTTGTCAGATGCCCGGTGCACAGCAAATTAATCCAATTCTTCACCATTGCTCCGAATGAAAGTGGTAATATTGAAAAAAGATCCCGAACGTGCACTGTGACGAAACGACGCGAGCAAATGATTGTATACTTGCTTTTTATCGTCACGATGAATGTACAGAAGTCCGAGCGACCTTTAGAGTCCTCCACTGTGTATTTAACATTAACGTGGCCGGACATCCTTGCACCATTCCTTTCACCCGAAACTTGCTGCAAACTGCAAAAACAATACAATACACTTAGTGTTGCAATACCCTGTCGAAAATCTACTTGAATTCAGAAATACATTGGAAAAGATTCGAAAGATGTCGGTTGAAAATACAGTCAACTATGTTTATAACGAACACGCTTATAACGAATTGCTATATATATGCTTGTAATGAACTACGGTTATAACTAATTATAATTAGTGGTTTCTTTGAGTTCGTAATAACCGTAGTAACTGCATAACGGTTTGTAAAACCTGAGGACATTATATATATTTTGTCCAGCAATTTCGTGAACAGATTATTTATTCAATGACATCCCAACCATAAGCCATACCCACCTCACACAAGAATATAAAAAAAACTGAAACTCAAAGTAAACAAGTAAGCCTGATGAAGTATTAATTTTAAAATAAAACTATGAAAGATATGGAAATAAGAAATACATGTTGGTAATTAAAGATAGAAGTATGCGGAATAAGCTTATAACTTATTGCCGATAAGGTGCAGGTCCCTAGAAATCTGAAGTGCAATATTGATACCGTGCTATGTAATAAAATAAATAGTGCCGACCATAAATATTGAAAGTGTAATAACGTTCTGATATGTGTATGTATAATACATTGTAGAAGCTTATTGGTGGGCACTTGCAACATTATGTATAAGTGCATCATCGATAATGTCTCGGTAATTACATAACTAAACGAGCTCACGTGTAATATCAATTTTATGAGACGAGTGAAGAAACCAGAACTATTTCATGAATTTAGTGTTACACGGGAGCAAGTTTAGTATTTTATTTATTACGTTTTAACTTTCTTTAGAATTCCACTGTCGTGTATGAATTGGCAGACACCTTCACGATCCACAACGTAATCCAAATAAGTTTAACAGAACAATACTCCAAACACGTTAAACGTTGACACATATTAATTTAATAACATAGAACAGCCCACCTTTAGAATTCAGGCGTCTGTTCCACAAAGTTATCGTAACTCAACATACTTTTACAGAACCTTTCCACTGTCGTTGTGCTACAATCCGATCGCCTTGTGGAACGGGATCTGCACCACAGTGTTTACAATCACGTCACAATATTCTATGACGTGATTCGTGGAATTTTATGACATGATCCACAGCGAAACAATGCCATGTGACGTCATCTAGCAACGGGGATGCCGGGGTCATTGAGTGTGCATAAGCTCCTCTCAATGATATATCATCTCCTCATGCAATGTCGTTGAATTAACCAAGAGATGTTGAGAGCTTTCAATGTTTGTTAGTGGAACTTGTTCCCGCAGTACATAAACACGCGCTTTGGTATTACACAATGTGTAATAGAGCTGTATGTTTATTAAACAGTAGATCTCTTCACGGGCAAGTAATAAAACAATATATTGACTCCACTGAAAGTCGACATATTTCGCCATTTCCTTATTATAATAACAATTGGGTTCAATAATACACTCAACGATCGGAAATACACATCATCTCCCCCAACGAGCTTGTGGCACCATTTGTTCTTTCGAGACAGATGATTCGTAAAGCTTCGCAGGTGAATGATTATTTGCTGGCAAATATATAGTTTCTTACTTGAGTCTTTCCCGTGGATCCTCTCTATCACTGACTGCCGGTTCCGTCCAGGTGACGAATGCCGTGGACCTACCAGGGTCGCTAAGTACTTCGAAACTTCGAGGACAAGATATTACCGGTGGCATGTTTGGTTTCACTACCTCTGCCGAAAAGAAGAAGAATATTTGGATATGTACCTGCAATTAAACGTTTTGCGGATTGTGGAGATGGATACAGTGCTAACGTAACACGTCATTCAGTAAACATGTACACTGAGCGAGCCAGAGTCGGTATTTACACCTCACAGCGGCATGAGGGGCGGTCGGGTAGCCTAGTGGTTAAAGCGTTCGCTCTTCACGCCGAAGACCCGGGTTCGATTCCCGACATGGGTACAATGTGTGAAGCCCATTTCTGGTGTCCCCCGCCGTGATATTGCTGGAGTATTGCTAAAAGCGGCGTAAAACCATACTCACTCACTCACAGTGACATGTAAGATATTCGAGCCTGAATCAAACATACCAGTTCCTGAAAGCATGTGCAACAACCCACACCATCGGGGCACGATGACACATTTAAGTCACTGTATCTCCCCACCCTGTTTAGTGGGCCTTAACAGCAAGGAACACTTGGGACATATGCTTCCTCGAAATCCCCACTGAAGACTACCAGAACAGAACATTTCATTGAAGGACATTTGCTTGTAACGACTAGACTATTTACTGCTGGGTGGCGAACATGACTCAACTGTTACATCATATTAGAAATGTGAGTGAGTGAGTTGGGTTTAACGCCGCTTTTAACAGTATTCCAGTTATATCACGGCGTGTCAGCTTAAGGTGGGAGGAAAGCCCGAAGTGATGCAGGTCTCAGCCGTTTATCACTTTGGTGAAACCCACGAGCACGGGTATGGTGCTAACAAACCTAGAAACATAATTGGGGCGAGGGGGATTCGACCCACAATCATAGGTGTCTGGCGTGTCCAAGGGACGCAACTCTGCACAGCGAATCGCGGCACCTTAGACGACTGGGCCACCCGTGCCCCCATTGGAAATGTGAACTAAACTTAGAGACCAAAACAGTGCAACATATTTGTATGTGTAGTACTACTCCTAACGCTGCTGCTGCATCTGCTAATGAAATAACACCTACGTATGCTGCAACTTCCATCGCTGCTATTACCACGATACTACCACTTCTCTTGCTGCTATTGTTATTATAACTACTTGTAATCAAATAAACAATGATGTTGCTGTTAATACTATTGTTAGTAATTATGTTACTGTTACTACTCAAAATAACAAAACTGCAACTTTTACTACTATCAATGCTGCCGCTACTACTGCTACCAATACCAGTGCTATTACTAGTGTCAAGATTCGTCATCTAGAGTGACTGGTCGGTGCGCGAGATATCAGTAGATACTGTATCACTGATACTGGCACCACGGCTAGAAGCACATGGCTTGTCAACGTTCTTGTTTTCATATTACGCACATTAACGAAAAGTTCCCGAAAAATCGTGACAATAATTGCACAACAACACTATATTTAACTATTCAACTGACGGCTTCTAACTTGTCAAATGTAATGCTGCTTTGCAGGTTATAAATATTGTACACTTTTAGAACAAGTAAATATATTTAATCGAAGACATCCCTTTCATTACATGACAATATAAAAAATGTGGCTGCAGGTATTCAATTGAAAATTGTATAACTAAACAGATACTGGAATGTTTAGAAAATGGTGATCCCTCACAGAATACAATGTCAGGGAGCATTCCCTGAATTTTCTGTAACAGTCACTTAATCAACAATCATCACTGAGTGAGTGAGTGAGTATGGCTCAACGCCGCTTTTAGCAATATTCCAGCAATATCACGGCGGGGGACACCAGAAATGGGCTTCACACATTGTCCCCATGTCGGGAATCGAACCCGGGTCTTTCGCGTGACGAGCGAACGCTTTGACCGCTAGGCTACCCGACCGCCCCAAATCATCATTGAACATCTGTGTGTGTATACTATTAAGATTTACCAAAACTGATAAGCTCCATGTACAAGCATGTTCATCATTATGCTAAAAATTACCTGTTTTAAAGTGGTACGTCAACTTGTCCCATGCAATGTGAAAAAATTTCGATATGGTATCAAGCAAACCGTTCCTCTCTAGGTATCCATATATTCCTCCCTCCTCGTCAAATGCCCTCTCCATCGCCGGTGCACGTTCCAGTAGAAACGAGGGAATATTAACATTGCCAACACTGGGAGGTAAGATTTCAACTACAAATATTTTCTTTTGCTCAGCTGTCATGTCGGGTTTGGCGTCAATCGAATCTCCACTCTGTTGTCCATTTCCCTGTAAAGTCAATGCATTTTGGTTGTAAAAAACAATTCACTTATTTAGAACAGGTGTACATGTAGAAGCTCTTTCTCATTCCATCTGACATTAATTATAAGAAATTTAATTAATCTAATTCCTTTAATTTATTAAAGTCGCTGTCAAGCACATAACTTATTCATGGGAATCATAAATATAATGATTTTATAATTCTGTAAATCTGTAAACTAATAAATGTAATCATTTTGTTATCCCCAACGACACACACTATTTTAATTCCCGGCTAACGTTTAGGCTGCGTTAATCTGGTTTAGAGCGTCAGTTGCACGTGCCATGAACTCAAATAATGTTTATGTATAACATCAGTTTAATCATAACGAAACAATATTAATACATTTCAGCTAATGGTTTGCAAAACAAGCTAAGTACTCCTAGGTCACATATTAGTTCATTTCTTTGCATGCACACGGTCACCTTGTCATAAACATCTGGTATCATCACTGTTATTATTTATTTTTTAACTGATTTTTTATTTACACTCATGCCGCTATCGGCGGCATCAGAGGTACAAAATTATTTCAACAAGTAATGCAAATACATATGAAAATAAAATATATACAAAAACATCTTGGCCGAGCATGCATGCATATTTATACAGATTTCCTATGGTAGCAATATATGTGCAACTCAACAAGAGTGAGAGTTACTTGAAAGGTTTGCACAATGACATGATGACTTTACAGAATTTGGACAGTCTTCTCCAAATCGTGAATTATTGAAAAGTAAATTCATTTTATACCTATTGGGTTTGATGTAGTAAAGTCTGTGTAAAAACATGTTTTCTTTCGTTTTCTAAAGGTGGACAAATAAACAAATAATGGAATTCATCACCTATGTCAGATAATTTACAAAGTTTGCATTTCCATACGGTTAAAGGCATTTTGTCCATCTCCCAGTTTCAATAGGTAGATTATGGCTACAAGTTCTAAACTTAAGAAAGACAGGGTCACGGACAAATCAAAGAAGTCATTCGTCCATTTATTTAATTATGCAATACAACAAATGCTCGCTGGTTATCAACTGATCCTACATTTAGCATAGTTACTGTGACAAACACAATATTTTAGTGATTCAAAAACAAATACTTTGAAAAAATCGGAATTGTGAAATCATTCTGCATCATCTTTTGATTATGGAAAGCGTCTTTTTCTCTCATATTTAAATCCTGAGAATTGTTGGTATTGACCTGCACGTTTCGGAATGGCAGTGTCAAAGCAAGATTATTTGGCCAAGAAGTTAAGGCCAAGCTTAAGCTTTAGGTAGAACGATGAAACAGTAACCATCTAAAGCCAGTTCCCTTCCACTGACTTTTGCACCTGAACAAGCATCGTCTGTTTCATATTTGTGCATAAAGATTCAGACTAAAACAAACTCTACCCGAGACTGTATGACTTGTATGTTGTAAACCTTGATCAAGCAGCTTCTGATGCTCTTTGAAATCTTGGTCGAAAGAGCATGCTCAATTGTATCTCAAAGGTTGACTGGAGCGGATGACAAATTGCTTGACATGAAGGGTTGGTTGGTTGGTTGGTTAACGCCGCACTCAGCATTATTCAAGCTATATGACGGCGGTCTGTAAATAATCGAGTCTGGACCAGACAATCCAGTGATTGATATCATGCGCATCGATCCACGCAATTGGGATCGATGACGTGCATCAACCAAGTCAGCGAGCCTGACCACCCGATCCCGTTAGTCTCCTTTTACGACAAGCATGGTCGCCTTTTACGGCAAGCATGGGTTGCTGAAGACCTATTCTATCCCGAAATCTTCACGGGTCTAACATGAAACGAAAGTTGACTATTGGAGAGACGATGTCATCCCTCTTGTCGTACAGCCTTGTACATATTGTTTTCTCAGTAAACGTCAGATAGCATTTGCTTTCATTTTTTTACAAATTGTCCTGAACCTCTGAATATAGACACGTAACTCTTATCATTATCTGTATCTGCGAAGGACATCCACATTTAACGCTTCAGTGACACAAATTATGTCCGATGCAATTCCCTACTTGACTTGCATCATACGTTTAACGTCCTTTAAGCATGTGTATTCCACTGCGTATACCGTGTTACACGCGTATACCGTGTTACACGCGTATACCGTGTTCGACGTAATAGGCGCCCACAGCGATATTTGCTAATATATTGGCAAGTGAACAATCCCAATTAGCACCCCTTCCCATTGATTAATATACTCAAGACGGTGGAGTCTACTATCGCCTATAGTGCACTTTGCCTACAGTCACTTTGCCTACATGAATTGTAGCATGGTGTGGTAATTTGCCTACATAATAATACATCCCTAACTGACAAATGGATTAGTCCACTCACTGTCTCGTTACAGGTTAAAAATTTCAAACAAAGATACTGTAACAACATATCAAGATAAAACTTGTAACTCTCTGATCTTGTTGTTACAATGTATTTACCTGTGTATTTCCCATCAGAAGAGAGAAGCCAGCATATAATTAACAACAATGTATAATATCAGTAACAACATTTAATCAAGTATGAAGACTCAGCCATACAAGACGATACTGGTTAGTCCACACATGCAGCTACAGTGAGTAATAGGGATTAAGGACTCAAACTGGAGTTTAGCTATAAAAAGAGTGGACATTTAATCAATATGGGAAGAACTAATGGGCATGGCCTCAGCCCTCCATAATCAAGAATCCAAAAACCACAAAAAAAATCCTAATACTTACCGACTCCCTAGGTGGACTGCAAGCCCTCCAAAACAATAATACCAAAAACCGACCTAAATTAATAAATCAAATACTTAAAGGCTCCAACGATCTGACTAAGGCAGGAAAACAAATAACCTTCTTGTGGATACCCGCCCACGTAGGAATATACGGTAATGAAAACGCCGATAAGGCAGCTAAACTATCCCTCAAAATCCCAGAAATAAGCTTAAACTTACCCATCTCAAAATCGTAAACAAGCAATAAATCACCAAAAAATGGCATAACCTATATCTAAACTCAGACAGCCAAACCAAAAAAGTACTCAGCAAACCACTAACCAAACCAAAAATTCTCCATCCATCAAAAAAAATCGACAGAGTAGTCATTAAACTCCAAACAGGACACACCAACCTAAATAACCACCTAAAAAAAAAAAAAAAACACACTACAGGTAACTGCCCACACTGCAAACAACTAGAAACCCCAGAACACGCACTCATCCACTGCACACACTACCTAACACATCGAACCGCATTACAAACCACCCTCAATCTAAACAAGGCTCTCACTCTAGAAGCAATACTAAACCCACAAAATAAACTAGAAAACTTCAAGGCCTTAGGCGTATTCTTAATCGAAACGGAACTAATAACACGCATCTAAAAACACAATAATCTACCAAATCAAAATCACATAAACAAACAAACATGCACCATACCCAGCTCCCTTAGTTCTCCTCCCCAACCCCATCAGCATCTATTCCAAATCTCAAAATTCCCAAATTCTATATAAGCAACCCCTAAAGCCCCCTCTTGGGTTGCACACACCACTTTCGCCCCTTTCGATTAAATGACCTGGCCGGGCCCGTGTGCGAAATACGCATCAGTCGGAAAGCGCACGTTAAATCTCCAAAGTAAGTAAGTAAGTAATCAATATTTTGTTTAATTTTCTGACGCAGTGATGTGCTATTTTAATGAGTGAGACATGGTCATATCAAGTGATGTCAATGTCACGATTTGTTATGTTTGTCTTGTTGCAAAGTATATGAAAAAATTGTTATCACTTAACAAGGGTTTTTTCTCAGTCTCTCATAGTGGGAGAGTCCATTCATACTGAAGGTAGTGGGAGCTCATAAGTGACAGTCACTGGTGCATTGTTTTGATAATATGTAATATGTTCATACACTTATGAACGTCAATTTCGCGGTCATGTGACCGACCTCTCGTCCAATGGAAAAGCCGTATATCGCGTAAACGTCACATTAAAAAATTATTTGGATGTACATTACGGTTTAGACCTGAATCACTTCGGCCTTTAACCCTACATTAAACTGACATTACTGGAATACTGTTTAAAGTGGCGTTTCACTCACTCACTCACTCACTCACTCACTCACTCACTCACTCACCCACTCACTCACCCACCCACCCAAAACCCACTCACTCACACACACAACATACTAAAATCAATACAACTCATAGAAACATGCCCCAGAATCAGCGTGTCTCATGTACCCGACACAAAACAACCATACGTAGAATAAACTTCTCTTTTTAATCCATCCATTTATTCCTTGAATTCTTCTTGAACATTTGCATATATGTTTAACATTAATCATGCTATGTGCCTACTGTTATGTTTCTATCACTATATTAGTGCAAGGCAGCGGGGGAGCTAAAATGATAAACATTCGCGCGGGATCGTTTCACCGAGGATACACCATTGCCGGTGTCGCCACGTGGTGTTGATGGAACAATGCTACAAGTTCTGTACAAACATACTCACTCACTCTATAAAATTCACCAACGCCAATCGATTTTTCTTGTCATTGCCCAGGAAAGGGACAAAGTAATCCCGACATACGAAGAATACACAGAACTGCCCAAACTGTATTAACATGGATTAATCTACCAGTACTAACCCCTCTTCGTTAGACGTTAACCACAGCAAATTCTGGAGCCTTTCATGTTAACCAAAATTATAACTGCTTAACATAACTGTATCTGGCACGGCAACTTTCACAGCCTTTGATTTGACCTTCACTTTTAAGATAACTGTCTCAGACGACCTTCATTGCAGAAATAGGTGGCGTGGTCACCAGCTTTGATAATACATCTTCGTTTATGTTTGGCAGGATATGATTCAGACATACAATAATTGAAATTGACAGAAAAGCCTTAACTGAAACTAGTCCATAGTCCCCTGAACAGACAATGTACACATTTCAATTAGACGATGAGCGATTCAGAAAAATGACATTGCTGATAACTGAAAAACGTCCTTATATGTATATAGTACACAATTACCGATTATATTGTAAACAAGGCATATCCAATACACATTTGTAAAAGTTGAAAAGGGTAACCGACGCAACGGTGCAACACGAGGTTAAATACAAACGATACGATACACGACATCAACCGAATATATAAGACTCTAATACGTGCATGTATATAAGCAACTATATTTACATGTCGTTGTGTATTCCAACTGTATTGAGGGTTCCTCTGTGTTCCTTGGTGGTAGAGCTGTCTCTGTAAGGAATCATACACGCAACTTTGGAAACTGCAACCTCGAGGGTTAGAATCCGTTCACACACACACAGACACACAAACAAACACACAAACACACACACGCGCGCACGCACGCACACATACCTTGGTAGTTGTGCTGTCTCTGTAAAGAATCATACACGCAACTTTGGAAACTGCAACCTCGAGGGTTAGAATCCGTTCACACACACACACACACACACGCACGCACGCACACATACACACGCACGCTAGCATACACGCACACAAAAACATACATGTATTATTCACAGTATCTTACAGATTTGTCGTCGCATTTTGCGCATTAGGAATTTCTGATGGCTATGTAACATGTCGCTATGACATGACGCTTAATGGAACCTGTAATACGACGAAGAACATAGAGCATCAAGTCAGGATATATAACCTAATTTTATACGCCAGGAACACAGCATACTTTATACGCCAGGAAACACAACCTTACTTTTTAATCCAGGAAACTAAAACATTTAAAAAAACACTTACTTAATACGTCAGGCAACATAGGCGTATTATATACGCCAGGAAATACATTCTTACTTTTTACATCAGGAAACATAATTTTATTTCATACAGCTTAGAAACCAAGATTGTGTTTTTTATCGATTGATTTGTTTTCTTTTGAAAATTACAATTTAATATATCATGAGTCTACAACTAAAAACAGTAAACAGTAATATGTATAAAAGCTACACGAAAATAAACATTTTTAAAACCAAGATAATATCGTATACCAGGAAACTGCGTTTCAAACGATATATCTCTATGGTCCTTCAAGGTAGTCGACACTCCGGAAAATCGGAACATTAATTAAAGTTTTATATTAATTGGCCTATTTGCAGTTTGTTTTATGCATCACATGTTTTTTTTCAAACAATCTGTAAGATATTATGAATAAACGTTTCATACACTCCCGAAGCTTTACAAATGATAAACTCTAGAATTAGTTACTGTGCATTCTAACATTGGCATACGTATCGAATACGCTTCCAGTTAACTGCATTTATTCAGTACAGAAGCACATGCTCTGAATAAATATACACACGTTTTGATGTTGCCTAGCTCTTGTCTGCGTTCTGGGTTGATAGGGATGATGATGCTGTAAGTGTGCAGGAATATTTTTAGTAACGAGCTAATATATTTCCTATGTCAACATCGAGATGAACTTAACATGAAATAGCAACAAAAAGAGCCAGTGTATTTGTGAAGGGAAAGGTATGGAATACTGTTGGGACATTCTCGCGATCTCGACTTTTGGAAACGAGACACATATGCAAAAAACACAATAACGGGTTTTTGGCTTAAAGTTTGACCACTGCAGTCCACGATATTTGAAACAGACCCGGATCTGGAATGTAACCAAGAGATAAAAACGCAATGATGATGTTTATCGCCAGCTAAAAAGTCATTTCCTTAAAAAGTGCACTTGGAATAGTTTTCATTACTGTAGGTAATATTCCTTATCGCCGGAATGACTTAATTGTTTTCACTTCCTAAGTACTATCTCACACGCAGCTATCTGCGCATCTTCCCGAGGCAAGAGAGTTAACTGACTTCAAAAGTCCAGTTCCCACATGACTTTTATATTAACTCACTTGCCTCGGTAAAATGCTATCTGCGTAGTGACTAATAACGGTATTTCGTAGTTCTATTCCAAGTGACGAGTAAAATAGTTTAATTATGTCGGTATCAGACATTACTTCATAAGTAGTTTATTATTAGTGCTTTGATATGAACCCTTACTTGACTTTTGTTTTGCTAAATATCCAAACAATATATTTCGAAAATATAAACATTCATTGTCTTAGCATGTAATACTATTACTGTCGAAAGCGATTATAATAACTTCATGAACAAATGTTCTGATATGTTTTGTATAATGATATCTTTATCACAATTTAGAAGAATATATACCTCTGCATTTGTATTTCAGAACCTCGTTTATTTTTGGATAACAAATTTATTTATTATTCATTTTTGACTTCCAAGAGAGATATCGCTCATGTGAGATCCTAGGAGATATTGCTTTCGTGGTCACCCTTTTATCAGTTGACATTTGCGTTAGTGGGAGTTTAAATCTGACATAAGTGATTCCATTTTTAATTACCATTTGCTTAAAATATTTTTTCGCTTCGGGTGGGGTGTGGGCGGGGATGGGTGTTTGGGTTAACAACTGTTCATTCTCCTCTTGCTGCGCTATCAAGTGCATATTACAACATAAGTAATACATTCACCACACACAATACCCCAGACACAAGAAATGCCAAATGTGAACCTTTGTTAGGTAATCTGAGTGGTGCTACCGCTAATTATACCGGTAATAAATTCATTTTCTGAGCATCAGTTGAATGATAACAAATACACAGATGTAGGGTTATATCATGAAACATGGATGATAACAAGGGAAGTGTAATAGTTATATTATATGCAGTTTAATTGCATGAAAAATAAGGGCCGTTTCTGTATTGAGTATGTACTGTATACCTAAGTACAAAATTTTAACTTTAACACATCAACTTCAATGGATTGTGTTTATTATGGACCCGTAAAGAATACGTCTTCAGCAACCCATGCTTGCCGTAAAAGGCGACTATGCTTGTCGTAAGAGGCGACTAACGTGGTCAGGCTCGCTGACTTGGTTGATGCATGTCATCGTATCCCAATTGTGTGGATCGATGCTCATGATGTCCATCACTGGATTGTCTCGTCGAGGCGCCGTCATATACCTGAAATATTGCTGAGAGCGGCGTTAACTAACCAACCAACCAACCAGCTTTGCGCGATCGTTTGGCTGTATTCGGTTTTATTAAAATGGGAAAAATGGACAAAGTTTAACAAATATTTTATCACGTTAAATGTCCCATATTCAGAATTGGAAATTGTAAAATAAGGGAAAATTACAAATAACGAACAACGTTTTATTATCCCCACCCGAACGAAGTTTGGCAGGGGATGTAGAAACGCGGTCCGTCCGTCGCGTTGGATAAGGATCGTTAGAAATAAAATTACTTTTTTCCTTGTATTATGCAGTGTTCCTTGTATTATGCAACAAGTTGAACTAAGTTTCAAATGATGATTTCTTTTGGTGGTTTAGTCATCAGCCATAATGTCAGCTGTACCCACAAACTGTTGTTGGTATTAATGAGGTACATATGCATTGTTTGATTTCTGTCCATATTCTACCATGACATTGAACAATGCTTGATTCTGAAAGGACACTGACTTTTACTGTGCCAGAACCTGCCATGACATTTTATATACCCGGATGAATATTTTATATCATTGAGTCTTAAACTGTATTGTATATTAATGTATGTATATTTTAATATTTAGCTTTTGCTTATTTTTACTATGTGCCTGTTTACAATGTACCGTCTCTCATAAATCGCTGTGCGATTGGTTGTATACAACTTTAATGTAACTATATTTTGAATTTGTTTGAACAAAAATGTGGTATATAAGTGAGACGTTCATAAAATCTTTTTCTCCTTCTTCTTCTTCTGACGCAATCAAGCGAGGTTGGAAGAAGGCAGGATTACTGTGAGGTAACAGTGACACTAATTGGTATGTTTACACTGTCATTTGTGATGTATTGTGTGACCATTCTTGCATTCATTTGTGTTTTTAACTTATTGAGTAACTTGTAGTTCTGGTTGATTATTCCAACATTTGATGACGTGTTGCAATGAATAATGTATGTATGTATTATTTATACTTATTTTTGCGTTTTTAATTTTTGCGATTGAGTCTCGTTCGCAAAACATATTAAAACGGTCGCAAAACATTCCCTGAATCTTATACAGGAGAACAACACGTTCTATTTCAACAACAAGTTTTATCAGCAAATAAACAGAACAGCCATGGGAATAAAAAGTAGCACCCCCATACGCCACTCTGGTAATGGGATACATAGAAGAAATGTTACATTCCAAAGTAGAACACTGGATGGATGTAAATACAGCTAAACACATTAGTAAAACATGAAGAAGATATCTGGACGACTGTTTTATTGTTTGGCTTTCAACAGTGAAAGAGTTACACAATTTCCGGAAGATTCTGGATTCGATCCATCCCCTGATTTAATTCACTATGGAATGTGACCACAATGCGATTTCGTTTTTGGACGTGAAAGTTATTAAGCAAGGATGTGGACACAAGACGAAACCGAAGATTAGAAGAATAAACTACAAGGACATCCGTGTGGGGTGCAGGCTAAAACGGCACCTCAGCAAAACGTCACCGATTTCTCTGGCGAAAACGGCACCGCATTTGGCGTGTGGAGTGGTTCAAGACGCTGTATATGTAATGAAAATGCCACTAGAAACGTTAACGAAGACATGAGAAACAGATACAGACATGGGACATTCTTCCATTTGTGTGTACCTACACTCCTAGAAACAGTAAAATGATGTCCCTCATATATATATAAAAGCCAATCTTCCAATTTCACATCAAAGTAAAACCATGAAAACATGTTTATCTAAGTGTAAACTTATGCGCAGCACTAGACAGCCTAACAATCGTCAAATTCTTTGTCCATCCACATATTCACAAAATACAAATACCTTCAATGTAACAAAGTGTAACAAACCTCGATGTGGAACTTTCCCAATAATAATGAAGACTGCAAATTTCAATTTTGCCAAGATAAACTATTTACTGACAAAAACAACATGAAATGTCGCAGTAAAGATGTTATATATGTTTTAACATGTGTGGGATGTGGTGAGCATTATGTTGGAGAAATTGGTGCGCAACTAAATGACCGAATCTCTGTACACAGACAACAAATTCGAGATCCAAATGTACGTTGTATAAATGTAAGCATTGATGAATGCGGGAGTGGTCATTTTACTGTCCTTCCGTTTTATAAATTGTTTAACAATGACAAACATTTACGAATGGAAAAAGAACAGATGATCATTAGTCTTTTGAAACCTAAGCTTAATTCAGAAGTATAATTTTCAAAACTGCCCCATGTAGTTCAATGTGTATTTGTGCACTCATACCTCATACTCATAATGTATTCATGACCCTCACAATTATCACTAACTATGACGTCATTTGCTTTATGACGTCAAAAGCATAACTTTGGCTGTCGCCTAGGACTACGTTTTACTTCTCCCTCTATTCTCACTGTTACATCATAGGCATTGGGACGCCACAAATACTACTGTTGTGCGTCGCCTAGGACTACAATGTAAGTCATGATCGAAGTCGGAGTCATTTCTCGAATCTGTTGATTCTTGGTGTAGAGCGCCATGACTATTTCGGAATTAACAGATTCTCATTATTTCTCCATTACAAAGACTATTGGTAATAGCGCCAAGGTTTGGAACTAACAACATAAATTCACTAAGGACAGATATTTCCAATCTGCCCTCGAGGGAGCGAGTACCTGGAATAGGCTTCACACATTGTACCCATGTGGGGAATCGAATACGGACTTTCGGCGTGACGAACAAACGGTATAAGAATTAGCTACCACTTCGCCCCCGGAATGATAAACAACAGTTTATCCGACCATATTTAGTACGTTGATTAAATATTAAAGGTATAGATCATACTTTCTCAGATTTCTCCCAAACCATTTTGACAATGAATTATGTGTATCTGTGGAATTATAATATTTAACAGATTGACAAAAACCTAATATGTGTACTTGGTTAATATAGCGTAAAATTATCTAAGGCACATGCAAGTACAAATGTATTGAGAGAGATAAGAGTTCTGGTATTTCATTATGATTGAAAGCTATTCTACTCGACGCAAATTGTGAGATCCTTACTTATTGATAGGTTCTCTATTGTCATACGTCTATTTTGCCTAACTGGGAATACCGTGGACCAAGGTAACCCGGACTGTAAGGTGTTCCCACTAAAATGGTCAATATTAACAAATATCCGGTTTAGTGAACCATGGCAATGGAGTAATGTCACTTTGTATATTAACAGGATTAACGGGTTCCGGACGATCGATCTGTTTTTCACTGTATTGTCATTTAGATACACTAGACAACAAATACCTTTCTTTCTCAGTGTGTGAGTGAGTGAGGTTTAACTCTGGTTTGAGCAGCATTCGGTTATAAGTGAGCGTGCTGTGGTAGAAAATCGACCCGCCTCGCAGTTTATGGCATTTAACACATTGATAAATTAGTCATTATTCAAGGCGCCTGGCAAACGGATGCTGACATATCTAATGGGCGCAACACATTACATCAAGTTGCTGAATTATTCATTAAAACTCTTACCTCTATGTGAGAATAAACAACAGCCACAGCACATATCCACAACAACACCAACGTTGTTGATACCCCGGCCATCGTCACAACGTCGGGGGGCGTTTCGCACATTCGCCTTTATACCACACTGTTAGGTAACCCAATCTCCGCTATCTGCGCGTGGCTAATTCTCCCTGATATCACGCAGCATGCACACGACTTACATTGGTAAAGTGAGTAGCTTGCACGTCACGGCTGTCCGACAAAACACACTATCGTTCTTGTAAACAGAATTATAGATTAAAGCTGTTGTTTTTGACATTACCATCCTGATTGTTAAGAATTTCACACTTTGAGTTTGTTTGCTGTTTAACGCCGCATTCAGTAATGTATAGGCTATACGAGGGCTTGTCAAAAAGTTCTTAGCCTAACAAACAAAACCAACAATTGTGACATAACATAATCTCTCTGCTTGTCAATACACTTCTCTTATCGATAGTGAAGCTTTTCAATTGCATTTAGGAAGAGGTTTTCTGAAAACCCCATTCACGGCAGCTTTGATGTCATCGTTGTTGGCATAACGCCTTCCTCGAAGGTGTTACTTCAGTTTAGGAAACAGGTTGAATTTACTTTGCGCCAGGTTCGGCGAGTATGGAGGCTGAAGAAGCTCTTCCAACCCTCATTGTTGCACAGCAGCCTTTGCAAGTCGAGAGGTGTGAGAAGAGGCATTGTTATAGGTCCAGCGACATCCTTCTTTTAATTAATCGATGGATACCATGAGCATTGGAACGTTGTAAAATTCAGTGTTGTGATTCTTAAAATATTGCAGTATAGTTGATTATACGCGACCGACAGAATGTAATATAAACGTTAAGGAATCCGAGCGAGCTTGGAATTTTTCCGTCGGAGTGTCATGGTGGAAACCACTTGAATAGTTTTCTTTAAAACTTTATTATCTAAAATATCCAATGGCTTCAAATATATATGCAAAGTGCTAAAACTCTGTCCTCCCTGTCTGTTTTATTTATTCATCAAACAGTCGTCTTATCCCCAGCGCGATCTACTCCCTACCTCGCCGGAACTTACGTGTGTACATATACGTGGTTGCTGACCTTTTACCTTGTTATGCAACACTCGGAGGGGGTCTGGCACTTTGTGTGTAGATTAGATAATTTTCAGCTGCGGCAACACCTGCAAAAAAACCCAGATATTTTCTTTAATAAAACTGTGAGCCTAAATATTCTGTTCATTAAATTCAAAAAGCGTCTTTGTCTTTGTTGTGCCTGACAATTTCTATTTTTTCAACAATCTCAAGTATATGTTTTTTTAAAAATATTTTGAAACAGTATATATGTTTCGATCCATTCCCAGCAGTTGTGACAAACAGAGCTGTAGATTTATCCATATACGAGCACAACTGTTTTGAAATAGAAAACACATGTTTCAATACCTCGTTGTGTGTAATTGATTCAACATTGTGATAAGAAAAGTATGTACGAGGGTAATGGAATATAATACCTGCATCCCACAGACGTAGTATGGAAGTGATGAGTCTTAGCACATGGAGTCGACATCACCCGTGGTATTGAGATTTCGATCTTCATGGTATTTTACAGTATGTTTATTATTATTTTTTACAATTTCACAGGCAACAAGAACCTCCAAGTAGAAAGTATATACGTTTCGTTCTCTCAAATCGACTAGAAATAAACATATATGTTTGCAGAGTTTTAATTATATCTTCACTGCCATACTTGTCCAAGAACCAGCTAGACCTTTTTAATATATCACGGAATACGGCAACAATCTCAACTGCATTCTCGTCAATGTTTGTATTATAAATAAATACATTTATAATATGATGTTCCAAGATAGCATCTAAAGAAAGTCGCTGTGGCCCATGACATATTGAAAGATATATTAATGTTTTGTACAATATGGAAGTAATGTTAGATCTTATCAATGTAAATGTTTGGTTTTGTGTCGAATGGCGGTGATACAATTATGTCATCGCTCTTAGGTGGGCTGTGTTAAAGACTTGTCATTCACACGTAGGGCGAATAATGTTTCAGTGTCTGATTATGTTTGGGCGCAATCTGGCATACACCCCATCCCTGATAATTATATTAAAACAAAAAAGTTATGGTCAAGGGTTTCACAACAACGTTAGAGCCCATGGTGCATTGTCCATGCAACGATATACATTCAACATCTGGGTAATTGTATGCTTGCCAATAGATCCAGTTTGTTGGTATATATCAGGGGTGGAGGTATGCCAGATTGCTCCCCCACTAATAAATTTGAGCTACTGACCAGGATATAATTACCCATATGTCGAGTGTACTGACTGATATAGGAGATTTAACGTGCGCTTTCCGACTGTAGAGTATTTCGCACACGGGCCTGGCCGGGCCATTTAGTGTATTGCGAAAAGGGTGAAAGTGGTGTGTGCAGCCAAAGAGGGGGCTTTTAGGGGTTGCTTATATTGAATATTTGGAATTTTTTTAATTTGGAATAAATGCCGAAGTGGGTGGAGGAGGGAACTAAGGAAGCCGGGTGAGGTGGGTGTTTGTATGTTTATTGGATTTTGGATTGATAGATTAATGAGTTTTTAGATGCGCTTAATTAGATCTGTTTTGATTAGAAATACGCCTAGGGCCTTGAAGTTTTTTTCTACTTTATTTTGAGGGTATAGTATTTCATCTAGAGTAGGAACCTTATTTAGATTGAGGGTGGTTTATAGTGTGGTTCTGTGTGTTTGGTAGTGGGTGCAGTGGATGAGTGCGTGTTCTGTGGTTTCGGGTTGTTTGCAGTGGGGGCAGTTGCCTGTGGTGTGTCTTTTAAGTTTTTTTAGGTGGTTATTTACGTTCGTGTGTCCTGTTTGGAGTTTTGTAATTAATCTGTCATTTTTTTTAGAAGGGTGTAGGATTTTAGGTTTGGCTAGTGGTTTTCTGAGTACTTTTTTATTTGGCTATTTGAGTTTTGAATTTGATTATGCCATTTTTTGTTTGTTTACACTTTTAATTTCTGATTTTGAGATGGGCAGGTTTAGGCTTATTTCTGGTATTTTGAGAGATAATTTAACTGCTTTATCGGCGCTTTCGTTGCCGTAAATTCCTACGTGGGCGGGGATCCACAAGAAGGTTATTTGTTTGCCTGCTTTTGTTAGGTCGTTAGTGTATCCCGTTAGTATATAATATATCATAGGTAGGAGGTATGCCAGATTGTTTGCCCAACTAAGTGAACTAACAAGAAACCTTTGTTGATCTGATGGTACGTACATGTATACCCTCATGATCATACCGACATAGTTGGGTGGTGGGCAATCGTCACGCCAAGGCAATAATTGGTGGGGAAGCAGTCTGCATAATTAGTGGAGGGAAATCTGTCATTGCCCTGATCCCTAATACAAGAAATCAAAACACCAACGGTACGGCGTTTTATATATTGCCTACAGCTCTTAAGCTATGGCGTCACTTCATTGAAACCCTCTTGCATAAAGCCACAAGGCGGTATGACATCAGCAGTAGAACATCGCTGGAAATACATTCATACCTTTGTTTGTTTGTTGTTAAACGCCGCAATCAGCAATATTCCAGCTATATAACGGCGGACTGTAAATAATCGAGTCTGTACCAGATAATCCAGTGATTGACATCATGAGCATCGATCCACGCACTTGGGATACGATGACATGAAATTAACCAGTCAGCGAGCCTGACCGCCGGATCCATTTATCTGACTCTTAAGACAAGAATAGGTTGTTCAGTCTTATTTCTCCATCTTGAATCCCAACGGCCATTTTGAACATTGCCCCTGAAAGCTCATAGCAAATACTTTCAGATATTATCTGGCTCTAAACCTGATCTGAAAGATTTCATACATGCCAACTACTTAGCCATTTTCGCGTGTATGTGATTTTTTCAGGCGTTTTCTCAAGTAAACAATTGACTTGGTTTTGTATGTGTTTGTGCCAACTACTTAGCCATTTTTGCATGTATGTGATTTTTTCAGGCGTTTTCACAAGTAAACAATTGACTTGGCTTTGTATGTGTTTGTGACTGGTGCCAGCTTTTCGCAAACGGCTGGTATCATCATAATTTGATAGTTATTCATTAACACATGTTCTGCATACAGCCGGAATCGATCAGTCGACTCTGCCTTTTGCACATATTCCTTGTTGCTGTGGAAACGGTTGTGTCGCTTTTATTATTGTGATATGCAGTTTTGAATAACACAGCTTCATTTGTTTATGTTTGAGCTTTAACTTTAAGTTTTGTTCTCGAGGCAAACATGTTGAAAGCGTCTGTGTAGAGTAATGCATATTCAGCCAGGATGTTTCAAATCACCATTGGCCTCAACTGAAGGTGACGATGCTTCCTGTAAACAGATGTGGCGACCGTAAGTGACGTATCCTTTGCGCGACCCGTGAATATTCCTGGGTGGAATAGGTCTTCAGCAAACCATGCTTGCCGTAAAAGGTGACTAACGGGATCGGGTGGTCAGGCTCCCTGACGTGATTGACGCATGTCATCGATCCCAATTGCGTGGATCGATGCTCATGATATTAATCACTGGATTGTCTGGTCCAGACTCGATTATTTACAGACCGCTGTCATATAGATGGAATATTACCGAGTGCGGCGTTAGAAAACTAACCAACCAACCAACTTTGCGCGAACGTTTGGCTGTATTTGGTTTTATTAAAATGGGGAAAATGGACAAAGTTCGACAAATATTTTATCACGTTAAATGTCTCATATTAAGAATTGGAAATTTCTGAAATAAGGGAATATTACAAATAACGACCACGTTCCATTATCTTTAAACTGCCAAGGGTCAAAACGTTAACTCATACCGGACGGGACCAGCATCTATCATTGTGCTGGTCAGGTTGAGTTAGGTAAACACAAGTAAGGCGTTAATTTTTTATCTCTATCTACAGCTGTTTATCGCCCACCCTTATCAAAACACACGTAACACGTATACATTCGTGGCATACTAGCGGCTGGTAAGCTGTTATTCTTACTAAGCTTCACTCATAAACACCTGTATCATCAATGCGTCGGTCCAACTAAATGTAACTCTGTCAAGATAGCGCCAGTAAATTTTACAATAAC